AATTTTAATGGGTTGTTGTTTTGCAGTAGTTGTTTTTGAACAAAGAGAAAAGGAGAGTTTATTTCAAGACATCATTCTATAAGTGATTAGTGAAAATAGGCAAAGGAAAAATGCTAGAGATACAAACTCAAAGATTAAAAAATACACAATCTTACTACTTGTGCACATCACCAATAGCACAAAATGATTTTAAACAATATAAAAATAGAACCTTAATTACACAAATGGCAAGTTTGTGTACTTTGTAACCTTTGTTTTTGGACAGAGGGAGCATTTAATTTAAACCTAGACAGCAAATGGATGCGAATGAAAACGATTAAAGCTTGGAAAAATCATGCCGAAACACAGGAATTTGAACCATGATCCTAAAGGGATAGAGAGATGCAAACCCTAAAACCAATATTAGAGGAATCGATAGGGGTTGAGATGGATGTATCCATGCCGGAACTCCTGCGGCTATAATGATCATTCATGGTAGAATTGGCACAGTTTTCTGCCATATTCATAGCGAGACGCGCATCCAGCCCCATAGCCCTCGTAGAGGATCCGCCTTCGTCTCCGTACAACCACCCTGTACAAGTCGGAGCTGATGCGCCACCATAGCAACCCAACCCTGTAGCCGTTGGAGCTGCTGCGTCCTCGTAGCCACCGGAACCCATAGCAGTCAAACTATGGAGGATTTCGCGCTGGATTCATTAATAACATCTATATTGCAAAGCAGGCGTGGAATTTGTTTTGACATTTTTGAGTTACTTTTACTTTTTTGAACCAATGGAACAATCAAACTTGAACATTTTGATTTTTTTTGAAAAGCCAAAATCTAAAAAGTTAAAGTTAGAGCATGTTTGTCACTGCTTCTTTAGAGTGATTCTCAGCTTATGCATTGATTCAAAGTGATTTTGTAGTGTTTGAGTTGTCCACTTTTGATTTATTCAAACGCAAAATTGGGCTTTCAATTGTGTGGCTCATAAAGTGAAATAATAATGCTTTATGTGGAAAATCTGTCAATTCAGCTGTCTTGGGCAGCGTGTGCACGGGATTTCTTAAAGCAATCTCTACTTTATTACTTTATGTCTCATCCAACATTAAATATTTAGATTGGAGAAATCTTTAAAGGCATTAAACATTTAATGCAGTAAGTGTGTGATTGCTGTATTAAGTATATTTTCAAATTCTAATCAGAAAAAGTAGACTCATTTATTTAAAATCAGCATTTATTTAAAGATTGTACAAATCTTCTTTTGCATTTATGTCAAATCTCACTAATGATCGTGTAGGGTTGAAAGGACCAAAAGTGATGAAACAGCTGGCATTTCTACATAGCATTATTAAAAGAGATTTACACAATATTTTGAAACCCGTAAAAAAAGAAAAAAAGCATTATTCACAGCTGTCAATATTGAGAACAATGCTTTTCAAAATATCTTTACATTTACCAATGCATTACAAAAGTCTATCTATAAATTCCAGACATCTCTCCACATTGAGTACTCCATCTTTTCTATCTTCCTCTCTCAAGAATCCTCAAGGTTTCCCTTTGTTTATTTTTCTTTCTTAATAATAGATTTTCTATCCTTTTACCTTCCATTTATTGCTATTTTATTGCAATGGCAGATTCAAACTTTTTTTGGTTAAATGTATTAAAACTTTATGTTTGTATATTAAACATCACATAGAAAACCCATGATATGTGGAGTAGAGATGTTAACAACAGACATCAAATTTAGGCCATCTTTAATACTCCCTCCGTCCTATAATGATCTTTCCGGTTCGCAAAACGAAGAAAAATCCCAAGTTTTTTCAATCTATTTTATTTAAATATTGGTATAGAAATAAAAAATAAAACATACATATTTAAAAACTACACCAAAAGTTCAACAAAACAAGTGGTGACAAGAATATTTTATTTTATCATATAGGCCATGAAAAAACACAAATAAATATAAATTCTCGTGAAGTTGGAATAGTGCTCTGAGAAGATCANGGCCATCTTTAATACTCCCTCCGTCCTATAATGATCTTTCCGGTTCGCAAAACGAAGAAAAATCCCAAGTTTTTTCAATCTATTTTATTTAAATATTGGTATAGAAATAAAAAATAAAACATACATATTTAAAAACTACACCAAAAGTTCAACAAAACAAGTGGTGACAAGAATATTTTATTTTATCATATAGGCCATGAAAAAACACAAATAAATATAAATTCTCGTGAAGTTGGAATAGTGCTCTGAGAAGATCATTATAGGACGGAGGGAGTAGTTCATATCATATTTATATACTTTTCTAATTATGAGCAAATATTATTCAAAAGCATTGATAACATTAAGTAATGACAAGGAGTCAAATGTTTGTTTTGTTCACCTTCTAAATTATTGTTTGTATGCATAACTTTAAAATTTGTGAATGTTTTAAAACTCCCCCATATAATAAAAAAGTTAGAAAAATTATCTTTAGTGCTCAAAGTCATGAAATATAAAACACATGTTATAAGATTGATTTGAACTAAAGTTCTCATCAAATTATTGAGCCCAAAATAAAGAGGAAATATTGAAGCAAAAATAGTTGAATAATTACAATTGATAATTCTATTCAGTTTAGTAAAAAATATACAGAGCATATAGACCTTAAAAGCAACTAAAAACTCATATTTAGTCTTGGCAAATGTGCTTTTCTTATGCTTTAAAATAAAATCAGGAATAAGTAAAATTAGTTATACCTACATCAAAGTATAGAAGAATACCTGAAATCAAATTGAGCAAAAATGGTTAGAATTGCAGTAAAAAGAATGTAAAAAGTGTTAGAACAAAAATCATAGACTTACATCTTAGTCATATTTTTGGATATTAGTAATATTGTACTCCATATATTACAATATTAGCTCAATTGGAATATAGTTCAACCACTTTATGTTCAACAAAAACATCATAGCAGAAATAATTTTATGTTTAATTACTTTATGTTAAATTTATGTATACTCCTACTGATCCAGACATGTTAAAACGTGGAGACCAATATACCTTCAATATTTAAAAAAAGGTATATTATACTTTGGAGATTGTATCTTAAAATGCGTGAAATCCAAAATATTGATTATTAAACAATGGAAAAATGTTAGATTAAGTAGAAAAGGTCTTTAATAAGGAAAATATGCAGACCGATTAAATGTTTCAAGATTGGGTAAGAAAATATCTTAAAATATTTTCAGCAATATGCAGTTCTTTGTGTAGTTAAATGTGTGTGTGTGTGTGTTTGTGATAGATTTAAAATATGAAAAGATCCCAAATTGCATCTCAAACAAGGGATCTAAGAAAAAGTTCAAATAAGGGATCTAACAGAAAATTTATTCTAAAAATTTATGGTTGATTTTAAAACTATTTGAAAAAATTTACATGCGTGTACAGATTACCACAAATCTATGTTTGTTGGAATTAAAGCCATATTGTGTACGTATATGTTACATATAAATGGTTAAGAGCATCAAAACTGAGTTGCATGTTATTTCAAAAAAACGGATCTAAAAAAATTCCAAACGATGGGTAAAAGGAAGTATTTACAATTCATAAAATCAGAAATACGATGAGAAATACCAAGATTCATGGGTATTACAGAGGAACACCCGACGAAGTTTTCGAGTTTAACACCGTCTTCATACCGCAATATGTTGGATGAATGAAGGGTTGAAGATGGGATGAAGAGCTAGCCGGCGACTTCTTCTAGAGAGATGTGAAAGGTCGGAGTAGAGAATGGGATATTACACGTTTAATGAGTAGGGTTTAGAGTATAGAGAGAGTTATTTAAAAAGTGGTTCATTTATTGGAAAATTGGGCCTTTTGGATCAATTTTTTGGGCCGGGAGCATTTATTTTGGAATGTTCAAAATTTGTAGGTAGGTTTCAAAAAAGAAATCAATTTAAATAAGAATAAAACATGGAGAAAGTATTAAAATAGAAATTTTATATTATTATTCCCTAAATAAAAATTAGCACTGTGATAATATTGCATTGTAGATGTACATTTTATTATACTTTTTGGCAATGTACATAATCATATTTGGTAATATAAATGTATTTTAACTCCTATTTTTAAAATAAAAATATGAAACTCCAATTTTGGATTTTTTTAATATTTTACTTCTATTTTAGTCTTTTTTCCCTGACTAAAAACTAAGAATTGAAAGGCTATATTATATATCGACTATTAAAATATATTTTTTTCCTTTTGAAGAATTATTTAAATATTTACTAAATTGATTTTTTACCAAGTCTTTTTTTTACATCAATACTTCTCTATTTTTTATGTTGTTTTTATCCAAGCCATGTATGACAATTATTTTACAAAGTATAAAACAAGTTACTTTTTTATTGCACAATCATAGTAAGAAATTAAAAGTTTTGTGAGTTCATGTTATTAGTGGTGCAAGAGTAATCGATATCCAAATGATTTGAAAATATGTTGGAAATGCAAAAATGCATTTGGCCATTTCTCTTGCTTACAAATTGGTCACGTGGATGTGAGATTGGTCGCACCACCTATCATGTTGTTGAAAAATATCGACCAAACAATAGATTTGTACAATGGAATAAGATTGATAGTAACTTGATTAGGCAATCATGTTCTTTAAGGAATAGTCATGACAAGGATAAATATTGGTCAAAAAGTTCTTATTCCACGGTTGTCGCTCCACAGTTAGATGCAAGACTTACTTTTAAATTTCAAAGGAAACAGTCTTAATCATGAGTTCATACACAATGACAATTAACAAAAATTAAGGACAATCTTTTATGCATGTTGGATTGCTACTCAAGGAATCGGTATTCAATCATGATTATAAAAAAGTGTAACAAAACTTATAACAAATCATATCGACTTTGGTCATTACTGTATACTTTTTTTGCTGGAAATTATATTAAATTATGTAATTTTTCAGGTTTTATAACATTTTCCATTATTCCAAAAATTGACTAATTATATATAAATTAACCGATGCACTGGTACGAGTTAGTATATGGAGTATATGGAGTATAAAAAGGCCAAGGTGTTATTGTAAAGCACACCCGCTATGTGCACGGTGCTTGTTTCAGGCTTTCAGCACAAAAGAAAGAGCTTGTTCTTCTTCTGTGGAGTTAGGCAGTGGGGCGGAGAGACGTACTCACAAGTCATAAACACTTTCGCAACCTCAAATCGACCAAATGGTACAGTTGCCGATCCTTCAGTATGAAGAAAAAATCATGGAGACAATTGAGAAAAATCCAGTCATGGTGCTTATTGGGGAGACGGGATCAGGGAAGAGTACCCAGCTCTCGCAGATGCTTTACCGAAGGGGATACACCAAAACCGGCATGGTCGCCGTCACCCAACCTCGACGGGTTGCCGCTGTTACAGTCTCCAGGTACTCTCCCATCTCCAAAACTGGTAACCTATTTATCAACACATTTCCGTTTGAAATTGTCCTGTTTCTTTCAATTAAGATTATGATAATTATGATTAGAGTCAGTATCATTATTGTTTTTGCACCACGGTTCTATCCAAAACCGTGGTTTCAATCCCTAAACCTACAAAAACCCTGCCCCATCCCACCCCCGGGCAGGGGTGAGGTGCAGGGGGCATGTGTGGGTGTTTTGGAGGGTTAGTGGAGTAGAAACCATCAATCTTACCAACGAAATATCTGGGTCATTCTTGGGCCATTTTTGGCGCGGGTCAAAAGGTCATTGCTGTTGTTTTTGTTATTATTATTACAGTATTGTTATTACGTTTGGGTTATTTTGACACTAGAGGGGTAGTGTTACATTACTCTATATTAGGGGATTGGTGCTCAGTTGGACTCGAAAGTGGTTCCTACTCCCTAAACCTGCACCCCAACCTTTGTCCCCTCGAGTGATGCGGGGTTGGGGTGGGAACTACTTTTGGGTCCAATCAGGGTAGTGCCACAAAATGACACTATCCTCCAGTGTCAAAGTAATTGAGAAATTGCTATTTTTTCACCAGGGAAACTTTTGATAATAGAGAATTCTTTCGATTCACATTCTCAGGGTGTAGCTTTCCATAATTAGCCATGATGCTTAGTTTTTTACTGGTTCCGTTCCTTTCTTTGAGTTTACCCTCCTATATGTGTGTGGTGGTGGGTGGGTGGGTGGGGGGGGGGGGTAAAACACATATAGATGTCCGTAAAGCAACGAAGGTAACTACCATGGATAGTCAACTAGCCTACACATAATTGACTTTGGTTTAATATAGTGTTTTATGCATTGCACGGATTGTGTATTTTTTAGGCAATATCATAAATTGAGGTGAATTTTGTTAGGGGTGAACCGGGGGTCTTATCAAGTTGGAAAGTTGATGGGGAATTGGTAAAGGAAATGAATGGGCAGTGTTATAGGCCGAGTTGGTGAGGGATGAAAAGGGGAGGTAGGGGTGTCTCTTGGCTTGAGAATGCAAAGGAAAATGCAGGAGATATGTTCGAAGAGGCCTGGGTGAAATGGTGATATATGCAGGAGGAGTTCTTTTTGGTATTTTTGGATGAAAGAAAAGAATTAAGTTTAAGAAGAAGAAATGGAGAGATATGAAATGGGAAGAGGTAAAATGAAGGGATAAACCAAGTTGGTGTTTAAGAGATATTACACACTCTTATCTTAACTTGGGGTTAAGTCTAGAACTTAATTAAGATATAACACACTTAATTAAATATCTAGAACCTAAAACTCACACTTAAGATAACCACTCTTAAGATATAGATTTAGGAATTTAAATAGCAAACACAACAAGTGTATTACTAAATGGAAAATGGAATTACAATGTGAGACTCACAAAAGGGCCTAAGGCCGAAATAAATACACACACATAGGGGGGAAACTTCCGAGAAACATCCACTCACAAATCACAAGAATAATATCCATTTGTTTATGTTTTCTTAATGGAATGAAATCAGGGATTTGGTCTTTGATTTTCATGGCTGGTGGCTTGTCCTTTAGTGAGGAAAATCACAAGGAAATAAGTGATGATTCTTGGGAAATAATGGGGGACAAAGGGGTTGGTTTTATTGGCCTTATATTGGGTCATTCATGGAAGGTATGTGGGGACTGATTTGGTGGGTGGAGTGTCAATAAACTCACAAAAGTCTTTTGTCCTTTTGTTATTGTTTATTCAGCCTAGGTGGGAGACACAAGGAGGACAATGGTTGGTCAATGTTGGGGAATAAAAGAGGGGTTGTTTTTGGTCATTAAAAGGGGACAGGGCTGGGTATTATTTATGGGTATTTTGGAGTTATGGCTTTGGGTTACTGTGAGGGAAAACATGGGCAGGAAGTAGGGGCTGGAGGTGGGTCATGGTTTTGGCTCTTTGTGGGTGTTGTGTTGGGATTGTGAGGTTTATTTGGGCAGAGAATGAAAGGGTTTTACTGGTTTATTAAAAGGCTTAAAAGAAGGAAAATAACAACAAACAAAAAGGTTTTGGTTTATACACTCTTATTTTCGGCCATGGCTAAAATAAGAGTAGGAAAAACTTTATTTTGAAAAGGAAATATTTTGGATGTTTAGGGAAGGTATGGGGAGTGTGGGCTCAGCCTAGGGTGGGTGTAGGACAACCATGGTGTTGGGTTGGGTTCTAAGACAGGAAAATGGAGAAGTTTCAACCCAATTAATGTCATCACACTTGGGCTTTATTCCCCTGATCCGTCTTTCCCCTGGCGGGCTACGGACGGTCTTCGGGCCTGCTCCCGGATATATATCAAATTTAGTAGTCTGATACTATGGTGTGGTTATCATTACGCATAAGCTTTTTATGTGCTTGGGCATATTTAGACATATAGGTGCGTATGAAATATCTACACCCAGTGAATTTCAAACATAATATCTAAATTAGGTTTCGTTGTAATTCAGTAATTGTGAATAAATAAAATCAGAAGTTTTTTTCAAAAGATTGTGTGGTTTTTATCTAATTGTCTGCAATACCTGGTAGATTTTGTGACACTAATAGAGTTTGTCTTTAATGTTCAACATTTCATATCTCCAACATGATTTAAATATTCATTTCACCCACAGGCGGGTTGCAGAGGAGCTCAATGTTGAGCTTGGGGAGGAAGTTGGCTATGCCATCCGATTTGAAGATAGGACCTCTGAGAAGACTTTTATCAAGTAATTACTTTCGTTTTTGTTTTTCTAACTACATTAGTTTTGTTTGACCGATAGGCTTCATTTGTAATAATTTGAAGCCTTTCGACAATTACAGATATCTTACAGATGGTGTCCTTTTACGTGAAAGCCTAACAAATCCTGAGCTAAATCAATATTCAGTCATTATTCTGGATGAAGCTCATGAAAGAAGTTTGAATACGTAAGCATTTTACATCAACTCTTCTATTTTACTTATGTTCTGATTTGTTGAAGAATCTATGATATGCTTCATTGACCTTTTCAACCTCTCCATCCCAATAAATACTCCCTCCATCCTAAGTGTTTTTGTCCACTTCTCCTTTTTGAGCCATCCCACTATATTTGTCCACTTTCCTAATGTGGTAAACTAAGATTGTCAAATGGACTTTTTTGCCCCTTTTGGCCTCTAACAACTCTTCAGTGTTGTATCCAGAATTCTGAAATAACGCTATAGCCTCTGTATTTTCTTTCAACGCCATATCTCTCATCTCCCTTTCTCTTTTTATCTTCTCTCAACTTCAAACAAAAAGAAGTAGAAAAAACATAACAAAACCAGATAAAGAATACAAGGCACTCTGTCCACCGATAAACGCAGGTCTCCTTTTGAAGGTGTTTCTTCAATCGTTCAACGATGGCAGTGCTCTCCAGTCTCTAGTAGTGACAATGTCCTCCCTCCCTCATCCTCCCGATGACAGATCTGATAAATTCGATCAAGCTACATGTGGAAATGAGAGGTTTTGTTATTACTAAGTTTTATTCGTTCGCCTAAATTTGAAAAATTATACTCGGAGTAGAATTCGTTTTCGATTCATGTGTACACTGACTGTGGTTTGGATTCAAAGTTCAACCACTCCTTTTGATCTTTTTTTTGGGAAAAACTGTCTTCAATCTTTGTTGGCTTACAAATCAGAAAAAGAATGAGTTATTCTTGTTCTTTATAAATAAGGGTAAATTAGTCTTTTCCTCCCCTTTTGTTTATATTTTGGTATGCGAGCCAAAACGAAAGTGGATTAAAGACTGGGACGGAGGTAGTACATCCAAATTGCTTTTTGCTGTATATTAAGGAAATAAATGATATTTTGTTTGTTTTCCATTTTTACTCTTTAAAATACTTACAAAAAGTTGCAATATTTCTAATTATCAAATTAGAAAAATGGTAAATTAGTATAGTTAAATAGTTTGTTGAGTTCAAAAAAGGATAGAGGAACAAAAAGGAATGTGAATCTTACCAAATGGGAGGGAGTATCATTATCTACACCACACATGCGTGCACACAGTCATATACCTGTAGATGCTGCTACCTAATGCTAGGCTTTAAATTGGCTGCCAGTATTATGCTCAGCCTGACCCGTCTAAGGACTAGACCCAAACTTTCCTATTGCCCGTGCTTCACTATTATCCACACACACACACACATGTATAGATTTTGGTTCAGGTGAGAATGAGATCTTAGGATAGAAATGAGAGTGCTAGAATTTGAGATCTAACGGTCATAAAAATTTGAAAAATAAGACAATATCAAGAAAAATGTGGTAGCAATTTTGTAATTAAATTGAACTTTGTAAAATGAACTACTTGCTTTGTAAAATGCACCATGGCGAACAAAACTGCACCATTCTTATTTCTTATGTCATTCACCAAGGTCTATTCTCACATGAACCGACCCCTTATTTATATATATATATATATGTATGTATGTGTGTGTGTGTGTATAGAGTGTCTAAAATTACACCAGTGCTACTGGTGTCATTTGCTTACACCAATTCGTTTGGGGTACGTACGATGCTCTGTTTGTAAAAATGATGGTTCCTATCCTGGCTGTGTACTGCCTATACTGCCAGGGTAGGGATGAGGGCTGAGTTGGGGGGAAGGGTGGGGCTGGGGTAGGCGGTTTAGGGGGAGGGTTAGGCGGTAGGAACTGTCATTTTATAAACAGGGCACCGTAGGTACCCCAAACGAATTGTTGTAAGCAATTGGTGTATAAGTAACTGGTGTCATTTTAGACGCTCCCATATGTATGTATGAATGTATGTATGTATGTATGTATGTATGTATGTATGTATGTATGAATGTATGAATGTATGAATGTATGTATGAATGTATGAATGAATGTATGAATGTATGAATGTATGTATGTATGTATGTATGTATGTATGTATGTATGAATGAATGAATGTATGTATGTATGTATGTATGTATGTATGTATGTATGTATGTATGTATGTATGTATGTATGTATGTATGTATGTATGTATGTATGTATGTATGCATGCATGCATGCATGCATGCATGCATGCATGCATCATGCATGCATGCATGCATGGATGGATGCATGGATGGATGTATGCATGCATGCATGCATGCATGCATGCAGGCAGGCAGGTAGGTAGATACGTACTACGTATGTACGTACGAACGTATGTACGATTGTATGATTGTACGTAGGTACATAGGTACGTACGTTAGGTATGTATGTATGTAATCTGCGGTATTTTATGTATTTCTGTCCACAGGGACATACTCCTGGGATTGATGAGAAGATTGATTAAATTGCGTAGCTCTAACTTGAGAGTGTTGGTCACATCAGCTACTTTGGATGGCAAGAAAGTATCCAATTTTTTTGATGACTGTCCAGTGCTTAATGTTCCTGGACAACTATTTCCAGTTCAAATAGTACACAGTTCAGAGAAACCCAAGAACTATGTGGAGGCTTGTCTTAAAACTGCCATTGGTAAGAACATAACTTCAACTTTTGTTATTTATTGGTTATATACTTATTGGGTTCGTGTAATTGTTACTCTATTGCATTAATAGGATAATAGTTGAGGAATGAGGTTTATTATTTAATTAACTCATCAGCATCATGTTTTTCTTCCTTTTTTGGTAAATATATTTTTTGGGATTTAGGGGTAATATTCCCTTGATCCAATAAAAAGTCTTATGTTTAAAAACATTTTTGTCCCAAAAAAGAGTCCAATTTGAATAAAAGCTATTTTTAAATCCTATATAGTGTTATTTAATGAAAAGTGTCGCAAACACGTTGATTGTTCTAAATTTAGTCAACCAATAAAAAATTCAAAAGTATATATATAGTTGATGGTGCCCAATTATAGTACTAGTATTATAAGGTTGTACGTTTGTGTACAAGGACTCTTAATAATATAGAAAGAAACTAAGAATGATTAACTTTTTTCTTTGGCTAGTGTCTACAATGCCCAATTTGATGGTATTATGATGTTTCCTCTGACGATACAATATCGCTTGTAGATATACATTTAAAAGAACCAGAAGGTGATGTCTTAATATTTATGACTGGACAGGTGAGCTTGTTCTTCAACTACTGCCTTGTCTACTCGATAAATCTATGATGTTTTGATAAACTTTATGTGGCCCTTGATTATATATCCCATTGATATGATGGGGTGCAACTTGTTCTAGGATGACATTAGCAAGTTGGTGTCTAAGTTGGAGGATAAAATTCGAAGCCTTGAAGAAGGTTCTTGTATGGATGCTATAGTGCTTCCCCTACATGGATCCTTGACACCTGAATTGCAGGCAAGTCTGTCTTCTATAACTCTATAAACCGTTTCCCTTGGGTTTCCATTAAATTACAGGAGTTCAGTGTATCCTTAAGGCAACCTCTAGGATTAACTTTTTTTATCTCGTTCAATTTGAATTTTCTACTTCCAATTTAAGCACATAATGGATCTCCTCATTCATCTTCCTTAAGTATCAACATGATTGGTTATGTTGGCTAACAATATATTAACAATGATTCACTATTTTTTGGCTTTGGGGTATGATGGAATAAAGCAAAGTGACTCTTTAAATTGTCTGCGCTTCTTTCAATAGTGAAGTAGAATTTAGTCAATGAACATTAGACGCGCATCATGGGTCATCTGGAAGCTCTATGTTATAAACATAGGGTCAGGCTGTGTAATGTTGTTTTTGTTGTAGCATTGTTCTTAAAGATGTTGTTTGTAGTTGTATAACATTAAGCAAAAGTTGAGATCTATTTATTTCATAAACATGTTGAACATACACATCTGTGTGCGGGTGTACATGCATACATACACTGGTACACATTGATCAGGCCCAAACATACTTACCCTATAATAAATTAACACTGCCCTCGAGGTGTACCATAGGTATTAATCATTTCAAAAGCTGTTACATAAAGAATCAACTATATCTTTGTTGAGTCCCTTTGTACATATATATGATAGCTGATCCAGCTTGCAGATATGATGAAGAAGTAATTCCTGACTAAATCATCTCTTTTGAAATGATAGTACACCTAAATAGGTTTTGTTCTTTCATTATGAGGCTTATCAATGGCATAGTTGTCACGGCGTATGGCAACAATCATGGCGATGATCCAATTTCCCGTGGGAATGGTGCTAATATGGCGTCGCCAATGGCTATATGACACAACTAATTTAAATCAAGTTCTCTATTATTGTTGAGGAAGACTTTGATCTTAACATTGAGGATCCTCTTTGTAGTGAAATGAAAGAGGATGACATGCTATTACTATGAGATTCCAATGATGCTCAAGAGCCTGATTAGATTTTCATAACCCAAATTTTGAATTGAACTTTTTTGATCAAGTTAATTTCAATTGAACTTTTAAGTTTTGCTTATGTTGTTTTAAAACTTTTAATACCAACACTTTCAAATTTTCTGGTCGTACTTTTATATACAAGACTATTTATATCAAGTAGTTTGTTATTGTTAATTGAATATATGAATATTTGTAAATTTAGTTGATTAGTTTTGTGTCATATGATGATGCCATATTGCCATATTTTCGCCATTGCCTTGCAGATGCAGACACAAATTGCACAAGGCACGAGTTTGTATTTCAGCATTCTTGCCACCAACACACTTGCTTTGTGCACAACTTTCATGTTATAAAAGGCTGGCATTTTGGCCAATGTGCCATGAACAAATGAAGCCATTAACTTGTATTGAATTTCTTACAAGTTACAATCAGTCATCTAGCCCAATCACCATCTGAAATTTTTTTGATGCATACATGCCCGCGATCTCCCCAAGACCCTACTATCGTGGGATCTAACTGGGTTGTTGTTGCATGCCCACGATCCACATGCAAAATTTGTTTCCTAGTGCATTCCTCTTCACAGTTCACATGGATTACAAATTTACTATACAGAATGTTGCTTCCTATGTACGTATTGTAGGTGCCTAGCAGCTATTGTTTTAGGACTTGGTTCTCCTTAACTCTTAGCCTAAATTGAGCCACATTATCATTCTTCAGTATATCATCTATCTTCCTATGTAGGTGGTAGGTGGCCAATACTCAATAACACCTCAACCCATAATAATTCATCAATAGCAGACCAAATTGGACTTTGATTTTCGATAAGTTTTTCGTTGATGCATATTTTCACAGACAAAAGTGGAACGAAATTGCCCAAAACCAAGAGGCTTAATCCCTATGGTAGTAGGGTGTAAGACCCACCCTGCAAGGGCATAAGCCCTACTTTCCATCCACTGCACTATAGCCCCCATACCTTTTGTGACAATTGAACTTGATATTATATTGACGCTTCCTAATTTAACTAGGCTGTCCTCGTGGTTTAATCCTTAAAAGGCTTTTTACTTGGTATTATATAGATGCTTCGTGATTTACAACCATTCATTTTATGAATCATCACTCTTATTTTTGCTTGACTATATAGGTTCGAGTTTTCAACCGTCCACCTCCGAACTGCAGGCGGTTTATTGTTGCTACAAATATTGCTGAAACTTCTTTGACCGTTGATGGTGTTGTGTAAGATCGCTTGATTCACTTGAGCTTGAGTAGTGGTTTAACTAGTCATTTCATATAGTGATATTATAATTTTGCAACTCATATAGATGCTGCTTTCTTTTATGGAAAAATCAATAAGCTTCTATTGTCCACCATGTTATTTTTTTGTTTGCATCTAAAGCTAGATTTCTAACTTAGATTTGGTAGGACTTCTTTAATTGGTGAGTGGTTCATAATGCATTTCTTTAACGTAAAAGTGTAATACATTTGCCTCCAGAAAGTCCATATTGGTGAGTGCTTGCAGTTTTTGTGCAGCTATGTCTATTGCCTAGTAGTTATAATAAGCTGAGGCGCCAAGCACTTCTATTGATTAAAGTTTCTGTGTATTAATTGTGTACTTGTAAAAGCTTACCTCTGCACTTCACATCTCCTTCACTCTATTCAGTTTTCACTTGACAATTTGTGCATGAACTCCTCTTACTTTTTCTGAGTCATATTACCTGATGAGTTATATGATCTGCAATCCTAAAGCCTCACTCATGCATTTCTGATGGACAGTTAACTATTCTCACAGCTACGTAATTGACTCTGGGTATGTGAAGCAACGACAGTACAACCCATCAAGTGGCATGTATTCTCTAGATGTTGTTCAAATTAGCAAGTACGTCATAAGTACTGTTTCTAATTGCATGTACTCATGTTAATTACTCCGTACTTTTTTTTTTGGTATATGAGCATATAGTTTGTTTAAAAATGGAGGAAATTGAAAAAACAAGTTTGTGTATTTTCTGTTTATATCATGATTCTTTTTTGTATTGATTTAAACATGCTGGTTTTAAATCATTCAGAATTTGGTGTTGCGTGGTTTGTTGGTCTTGAAGTTTAAGAATAGCGAGCTCTGGCGGGGCAAAAGAGAACCACCTGCCATGGCTGTGGGAATTATGAAGAGATAGAATAGTAGGAAGGAGGATAGTTGTACAATATCTAATGTTCTTGTGTACGTAAATGAAGAATGCCATAACAATATATAGGAGAATCTGGCCTATGCTAGTCCTCAATCAAGGAGACCGGCTCCTTGAGACATTGACTTGAGGAGACAAACTCGCTAAAATGAGGGAGTCAACAGGTAACAGGTTAACAACTGTCACATTAATATTTTCAACATTCACATTTCAATACTCCCCCCCTCAAGTTGGATCATATAGGATATTAGGATTATTGATCATGTGAACCAACTTGAAGATGCCAAAAACACTCAAGATCTTCAACACTTCCCCTTAAGCAAGAACTCCAAGAGTAGTAGGCAGAAAATCCAGAAACAGAGCTGCAGAAAACATTCCCATAGCAAAATATTGGATGGAATATCACATGGCTGCAATGGCACTTTGTGAGGCCTTTGAGAATTTAATCATCATAATGAAAATCACATGGCTTTTCAGCTCTTTGTGAGGCTCATCCTTTTTAATGTTGGTGGGAATATCACATATCTCTAAAACACTTTGTGAGCTCTGTGAGAAAGACAGATAACTTAGGAGGGAATATCACGTGGTTCTAGACTAAGGAAATTTCATGTGTCTCCTTATAAGACAGTTCAATGGTGAGTTTGTGTCTGAATATCACTTAGCTTATAAGTTATCAAGGCAGCTCAGTGGCGACTTGTAAGACTCCGGAAAGACAAAGTGGAAACATGGAATATCAAAAGGGCTGCAACAACAATAGATCACCAAAATGATTAGTTTGGGACTTTGGGTCAGTGTTGTTGGTAGTCTTGGTACCATACTCCCCTTGAACAACAAACACAGGAAGTTGCTCCATTAGGATTTGCCCAAAATCAAGGTTGATCTAGTAACAAGACTGCCCAGAAAAAATCAGTTAATGAAGTTCAAATGAAACAGCTGATCAATTGAGAACAAAGCAGAGAATTGCTTGAATCAAAGTCAAGATTTTGACTTAAAATCTGAGTGGCGGCAGTAGCCCAAATTCTGATTAAGTCTCAACTTTAAATTATAAAAAAATTTGTCATGTGATATCTGAATTCAAACAGAAAGCTCAAAGTTACGTGTACGGCTCAAAATGCCAAAGTTTATGTTTACTAATCACTCGTTTAGTACAAACTTTTTGACTTTCAAATGGTTCACTTTATCTGGAGGCATGCTGCTATGCTGTTGTGAACAGTGCTGTTTATGCAAATTACTTCTAACACAGTAGGCCTGATTCATGAATGATGTGTGTCAAGGACCAAAGAAGCAGACTCTTTCATTTGCCCTATGATGCTCGACAGAAACTGATACCTGGGGCTAAGGCAGCTGGTACACATGGAAGAAGAGAGTTTGTAGGAAGAGAACTCCCTATTGGATTTTATTTCAATACCAAAATAGCTTTGAATTAAGAATCATAATTGTATTTAAAGGACAGGTATTCCAATCAGAATAAGGAAGTACTAGCGTATTAAATAATATGAAGCTGCCAAATTATAATTTGAAGGCAAGAAATGTATAATAAATAAATTTCCATAACTCCTGGTAAAGATGGGCTGTGCCCCTTGCATCTTTTATCTGTGTAGGCTTGACCCTTGAATGCATCAATGAACTTCCAGAAAGGAATCCAGAATTAGTATAGAGGCAGTGGTGATGAATTGGTACTTTTAGATCCTTCACTTAAGTTTATTGTACCTTATGAAGTGGAGACAGGTTTAAGTGAAAATGTCTTACCCAATTGCTTTTTAATTTTTTGAGAACTTCATTTTCAATATTCCAAAAGAAGAGCCCATTCTGGAGGATGTTCGTGTGCCTCGCCGGAGTTGATTCTTATCACTGGTAGTGTCTCATGCGCTGGTGCTTGAAGCAGTAGAAGGGGACAACGGTAGTGCGTGAGGATTACATGCGCTTCTCCGATGGTGGCGAGAATCATCAGAATGGGTTACAAGAGGGAGAGGATCATGATGGTGGTAGACATTTTAAGTTTGTATAACAGAGAGAGAACAACCTGGAGGTCTAGTCATGATGATTATCCGGCCTGGTGATAGATTTGAGAAAAGAACTGCTAGAAAGGAGTAGATCATCCTTGCAGATTTGTTCACGCTAAGAAGAACATACACACCGGCGATGATGATATTCATACCAGAAATACAGGTGATCACACCAAGGATGATGACAACAACATTACTCTAGTGCCTCAAAGGCTTCCGCCCATTGCGGGGTAAGGAGGGGAGGGGGTCGGATGTATGCAGCCTGACCCCTATGTTTACAACATGGAGCGGCTGTTTCCAGATGACCAATGATGAGCATCCAAAGTTGCATTGACTAAGGGCTACTTCACTATAAAAGAAGCACACACAATTTAAAGAGCCTTTTTGCTTTATTCCAGCATACCCCAAAACAAAAAAAAAATAGTAAATCTTTGCCTCCATCAGAGATGATGACTCATGTGGTATTATGTTAACTTCTGTTAATTGGACCTAACTCCAACTCAAAAAGATCCTTAAAACATGGTGGTTCGCGAGTTTGTATAAATGAAACTTCGATCTCATAATCCATCAGCGTTGGATACTTAACACGTCCCTTGGCCTGAAAAGGTTTGCACAAGAAACGGTTAGACCACAAAATGTGTAAAGGACAAACAGGCAGATCCCAAACTGTAGAAAATGCAAGTGGTTGGGCTCAGGAAAAAGATCAAGAGGTGGTCCCATAACTCATTAAGGTGGGATACATAACAAAGAAAGAACAATGGATAGAAGGAAGGTAGTCGTGTATTATCTAATGTTACTGGGTATATTATCTCAACAATATATAGAGAGAGTCTAGCCTACATTATTCCTCAATGAAGGAGACCAGCTCCTTGTATTAAGGAGACAAGCTCATTTAAATAAGGGAGTCAACATTAACAACTCTCATATCTGAACATTTGTGTTGGTTGTAGAGTTATGGAATCCACATCTTGTAGGGGTCTGATAGCTATGAAAGATGCATGTACTATTGTACTTTGCAGCATTATTTTATTGACAATGTTCTAAGAACATTACGGGCTATAGGAGGAGAAAGGATCCAAGTCTCTGAAGACCACAAAGAGGATGAATGAATGGGTTTTTGTTTAGTCCTCATCCTAGCACTTTCCTAATTTTGATTCTAATTGTAGTAATTCTCCCCCCTTATATTTTAAAAGTACAAAGTCTCCAATCCAGACTTGTAAAATATTGTACACTAAATTTAAAATCTAACATTTAGTAGCCAAGGTCCCCGGATGCATCTTGCTACCTCTCTTTTTAGAGCTCTGAATTTGAAATGCACGATGCAGTATTTTTTACTCCGTAAAACGCAGTGCAAGTGTGCAACTCGATTTGCATTGCCAAAATTTTTAGTGTTTGTGCAAAATAAATCGCATAGTATTTTTATGTAATCCATATTGTATCTTCCATGTCTACCAGAAAAAGCCCTTTACAATTGAACTCTGAAATCTTTGAAATGGGGAAAAAATTAACTCGTCTATGAATGCAGGGAAAGAAATATTTTTCTAATGAAGTGTTTCTTGCAACACATTTCTTTCCAAAATCCAAATTAAATCTTACTCTTTGGACTACTAAAGTTACTACTAAGTACTAACATTAGATTTTTAATTTTTTGATTGGAATCCCACAGAGTTCAAGCCAATCAACGTGCAGGTCGAGCTGGCAGAACACGACCTGGAAGGTGCTACCGTCTATATTCTTCTATTATTTACCAGGATGATTTTTTGGATGCTACAGTACCTGAAATACAGAGGTCTTCTCTTGCGGGAGCTGTTCTGTATTTGAAGTCTTTAGATCTCCCTGATATGGACATTCTAAATTTTGATTTCCTTGACCCTCCATCAGGTATGGTTTGCATCTCTTTTCGATGCCCTGACATTCTTTTAATCTGATTCTCATCATTTTATGATAAAATAATGTTGTTGACATAGCTGTGAAAGGGGCATTAGGTTTTGGCATGACACCTTTTCGACTGTAAGGCGATTTACAACAGATGTCTGCATCTTGTGCGGATGTGGCGGGGAGCAAATTAGGCGCGGGCCTCACTTGCACCCAACTTTATTTAAGAAAATTCAGTCCAGCCCTTTTAGGGTTAAGTGTACAGACCTGTTCTTCAACTTTTAGTATAACATATCACTCAAAGATCTGCACTTCTACTTCTTTAAACGTTCACAAACCTCTCATGTTTGATGATAACGTGGTTGAGGATGAACTGAGAAGATAATATGATGAAGATGAAGTATTCGAGGATGGCAGGGATGATAATTTTGATGGCGAAGAGGATGGTGATTTTGATGCTTGATTAGTTATAAATGGAGTAGTTCTTTATGCTAGTATGTTTGAAGTAGGTACTTGGGTAGTTTTGTTTACCTTTGGTTAATGTTGAAATTTTGCAGTTGGACTTAACTTGATACTTTGTACTTAATAAATCACTTGTTCTTTAGGCTTTATTTTTAATGCGGGTGATGTTCTGTGTTTGTATGATTTGTGTTATAAAGACAAAAAAGTTAAGAGTGAAACCAAGCACAATATTATTAATCAAGCCAACTAAACTCAGTACATGGAACAGCTACCAAAACTACCACCTCTGCCACAACTTGTGAAACATACGTATTAACTTGAAACATAATTTTCTTTGCAAAGTTAAGCATTCAAGCTGTTGAAGTTCAAGCCAAGTTACACTTGAAGTGAATTTCTACTTTTGAGTTCAAAGTGTCCTACAATTCGAGTGGAGTTGAAGTTCATTTCAGTTTAAAATTTTAAATTCAAGCTCAATGTCAAGGTTAAAGGACAAACTAAATGTTGAAGTCATGTGACATTTTTTCATCCTTGTAATGCATAGCAAGCTTGAAGCATTTCTATATGCTTCAGCTTGATGGGAGTGTTGATGTGTAAGGAACAGTAAGGTGTTGTAAAAAAACAGCAGTAAATTAGCTATTTTATAACTGAAAGCAGTGGTGCATTCATGTTGTACACCATACACAACACATTGTAAGCTTTTAAATTCTATACAAGAGTTTATTGTTATTTGACATCGTGTCGTTAGCTATTTAAGGTAAAGAGTCATATTAATATAATGAGAAGGGGTAATGTTTTTCTAGCATTGCTATTTAACAACTTGTGGGACTTGACCGGGACTGTTGTTGTTGTACTACTCAACAGTTGTATGTGTGATATGGTTCACTTCTGATTTATTGCAGTTGAGTCTTTAGAAGATGCCTTGAGGCAACTATATCTGATTGATGCTATTGATGAGAATGGTGCAATTACCTGTCTTGGAAGAACCATGGCTGGTAAAATCCATACCTGAGTTGAATGCTTGAATTATATGATATGTATTAGTCTAGTGAAATGTGAAATAAATTCTTTTGGATGATAAGAATTAAAAATCCCTCACAAAGTTCATCGGGTTAGTTGCACTGCTGTTGCTAACACATGTTTTTGTGCAGAGCTTCCACTAGAACCTTCTCTGTCGAGGACCTTAATAGAGGCCAATGATTTGGGTTGCTTATCTCAAGCTTTGACAGTTGCTGCTATGCTATCTGCTGAAACAACTTTGCTCCATGGGTCTAGGTAGATTTTGTGGCATTTTTGTTCTAGTGGCCTTTTGCCCAATTTGATCCTCAATGATCATCCTGCAAATGTAGGGATGTTAGCATGTTTGGATTGGATGTGACAAATAAGTTGGATCTCAAACTACGGGGTACTTTTTTCCAAAGTGGGTAAAGAATATGTGATACATACTTGAATGAAAATAATGCATGCTAGCGGGACTGGTCAGATGATGACTTTACAACTGGATATATTGAAAAGATGAGATAATGTGTTGCTTAATGAGTCAAGTTGACCAAAAACCTTAGTAGTGTATCACATTTGGACACTGGCCCTCTTCTCTTCGGTTGTCTTGATCAAAGTTAGAATTTTGCTGAGATATGCTGTGGTGATTATGAGTTCTTTCACCATTTCATATGAGTGTTTGGTCCATATATGTCTCAGATGTTGGCTATACATACTCTTCTTTTCATTTTCTAAGTGTTGTGATCAGCAGGAATGCTATTGAAAAGAAGAGGAAACAAACTCCGTCAAACCTACCTGATGGATGTGGGTGGGGTGATCATATCCAGCTACTTCAGATTTATGAGCTATGGGATCAAAATGATTACAGCACAGAATGGTGTAATGAAAATAACTTGCAGGTATAAGGCATAAGCTGTTCTTCTCCATTAATTGGCTGAAGTCTTGTAACCTTTAAATAGTTTTTATTGTTGAACTTGCATGGTAGGTACGGGGAATGATGTTTGTAAAAAATGTAAGGAAACAGCTCACTCAAATAATGCAGAAAATAACCAAAGGTAAACTTTATCTTAACCTAGTTTCAGTCATTTGGTTCTTGATGATTCTATGATTTCTTGTGTGAACGTTTAGATATCACCTTATTGATGCCTCAATATGAAGTATTCCCTTCTTGATTTAATTGTCCACTTTCTTATTTTTGTTTGTTCGGAATTGGTATTCCATTTTCCGTGTTCAATAAAAGGATTGTGATGGATCGTCTAAAAAAAGACCTGCCCATTGTTGACATGAATGAGTGGCAAACTCGTTCGAAGGATTTGTTTCACATTTTTCTCATTTCTTAAATACCGTAGTATGATATTTTTTAGGAAGTGGACAACAAAATTTGGACGGAAGAGTATAATTTTATCTTGGCCCGCTCTATATTTTGAATTCATTCCAAAACCAATGAGTTTAAACTCCATAAACTGGACTTCGGATCTAATCTTAAATTGGTCAAGGATTTTCCCTCCAAAGTATAATTTTATCTTGGTTGAGGATTTTCCCTCCAAACTGAAATGCCTCTCCATTCAGTGCTTTCATTTTCTTCATCTATGCAACTTTTTCTGTTTGAAGCATATGCACAAGTAGGACAGTTTCCTCCCCTCATCCCAAATTATGATGTATCTGGTATTGAAAATAGCACACATAATGTTAATCACACGTAAAAACAAAGAGTTCTTGTTAGTGTATATTTATTTATATAGCATTATGAAAATGAGAAAGGTGCTCTTCTTATGTTTGCTGAAGTATCAGGATTCCCACATGCGCAACATATTACCTTTATTTGTAGAGTCTTTGGTTGGCCAAACAAGTAGAAGGCATAAACAAAGTCAACAAGACTACAAAAATTTGCGGAAAGCTTTGTGTGCAGGCTATGCTAATCAGCTTGCAGAGCGGATGATTCATCATAACGGCTATCGAACTATTGGATTCAAGCCTCAGCTGGTTCAGGTCTGCTTGTATTTGAATCTCTACTTAGTCCATTGTAATACGTGGAGATGCACAAGTATTGTTTTAAACTATTGATGTCATATGTACTTGTTCTATATGTAACATTTAACCTAATATTATGATTCAACCAGTGCACATGATTTTATATGCGTACTCGGTATTGAAGGGAGATGATGGATTTTTTTATGTCATGCAGGTCCATCCATCTTCAGTAATGAAGGGAGATGATGATGGGATGCTCCCAAATTATGTGGTGTATCACGAGCTAATATCTACAACGCGTCCCTACATGCGCAATGTGTGTGCAGTTGAGATGCCATGGGTCATTCCCGTCTTGGAAAGACTTGAGAAACTAAATGTCAAAAAATTGAGGTGATACAAATTACACAAATGCCCCCACTGGTTCCATAAAGGCTAAGACTGTTCATATTTTATTTTATTATTGAGCCTTCTGTTGGTTGTCTTCGCAGTGGTGGCATCTTCCATCAGAATGAAGAGAGAATCCAAGAAATAAACTCGAATTTAGAGAAGAAAGATGCAGCGGCCCATGAGGTTTCCCCAGAAGAACTTGGCAGCAGGATTGAAGCTGCTAGGGCACGCTTTCTGGCTCGCAAGGCTCAGAAGTAAGCTGGATTTGTGTGGAAATTACTCTCCGTATATACGGAGTATTAGCCAAATTCATGCTGGGCAAGGCATGATTGTGTTTCTTCAAATGATTGTCTGGGCACGCATTGTATTATTAAAGGAGAAGGTGGGAACTTAAATGAGCCATTTTGCTCAAATTCAGTTAGTTTGAGAGAGTTGGTCTTGTTCAAAAAGTTGGAGGATCGTTGATAATACACAGTACAGACCGGAGAACAATGTACTTTAGTTGTGATGCTCAAGTTATTTTTACCCATACCTTGTGCTCCATTTTCTTATTTGGCAGATAAATTACATCAAAGGGACTAATTTACTCTTCCTTTTCCACGGGGAGTACTCATTTTCGAGTAATTGAATGTTAATTTTCGAGTAACTTTAACTGAAAAATCATATTTCTAAAATTTAGTTATGCTCGAAAATGAGTACGGAGTATTTCATTACATGAAAATGAATATTCATGCAGATGCACGTGCAATATTGTACATCTGGATGTATGGTATATGCACCTTGGTGTCCCTCCTGGACGTAATCACTGCCTTTTTCTTTGTCTGGTGTCCATTCCAGACGTAGGTATATGCACGTTGGAGCCCCCTAAGGGATGGGTGGGGTTCGTTCCTTTTTTTTACACTATGTTTGGTTCAAGGAATTTGGAAGGAAAAGAAAAGAAAATGGTTTTCTCTCATTTTCCTCACCAAAATGGAAGGAATTTGATTTTCCCTTCTCTTACACTATGTTTGGTTTAAGGAATTTGACAGGGAAAGGAAAAGAAAATGTGAAGGAAAACATTTTTTTTGTTTGGCTAGAGAGGAAAAGAAAAGGAAAGTGGAAGGAAAAGAAAATGAGATAGCAAAATGTACTAAGATGAGAGTAAACCAAATTCCTCCCATTTTGGTGAGGAATTTGAGGGAAAACCGTTTTCTTTTCTTTTCCTTCCTATTTCCTTGAACCAAACATAGTGTTAATATATTTTGTCTTTTCATTTCCTTTTCCTTCCACTTTTCTTTTCTTTTCCTTTCTATCCAAACAAGAAATGATATTTTCCATCTCATTTTCTTTTCTTTTCCATTTCAAATTCCTTAAACCAAACATTGTGTTAGAGTTCTTTTGATGCGACATTATCACATCATCAAATTCGGATTTAGGGTTTGCTTCGTTCAACTTATTTTTTTGAATAGGCAACATGCCGCTAGGGGAGGGAGGGGGTTGGGTGGGGGTCTAGTAGAGAGGTTAGGGAGAGTAGGAACAACAATTACTTTTACCAACAGAACATCGTAGGTGTTTGAAAACTGACTCATTCTCGAGTCTTTGTTTCTAAGGTAAAAAAAACCCTTGTCAATAATGTTGTTATTAATGTCTAACATGAATAATGCAAAAGGATCTCAAACTATATGTGTCCTTTTAATAGTGAAGTGATAGTTAGTCAATGCAATTTTTAATGTTTATACTGAGTCATTTGGTAACACCTGCTATATGTTACGGAGTATAAACATAAGACCCCCCCTGGTGAGAGCCTTTGAGGGGCTGTGGTAATATTAAAATATAGAGGGGGGGGGACACAAATTGAATTTTCATTCTTTTATCATTAAAATAGGAGTTACAATGACAATAATATCAATATATATTACTCTCTCCTTCCAAAAAATAATTACACTTCTCACTATTCAAAAATCAAGAAAGCTTTTGTTCATTTGTGTGTTTTGATTAATCATTTGATAAAATAAAATATTGTCATCACATATTATTTTGTAGAACTTTTGACGTAGTTTTTAAATATTTAAGATTAATTTTTTCTTTCTATTCTAATCTTTAAATGTAATGAATTGAAAAAAATTAAAATTCATTTCGTTTTGCGTAAAATGTAAAACATTTTGGAATGAAGAGAGTACTAAAAAATACTGCTAAACACCAATACGCAGTGATATGTAATTAAACTACAAAATATTATGTTGGTATTAAAAATATGTCTCCCTTATTTTGGGTGATTTCTTATATTGTCTTTTTTTTTCAGAGTTTTTTTTTTGTGCTTTGTTTTTGTTTGTTTCTCGTTCTTCAAATGTTCTTACTCATACGGTTGCTAGAAGGGGTGAGTCTCAGTGTGGCTAATGGGGAGGTTATTCCTCTAATTGTATCTTATATTTGGTTAATGCATTAATGAATTTTTTTTGTCTAAAAAAAATTAGAACCACAAAGACATAATTCATATTGTCCCTTCATTGTATTGTTGAAGCTTCCTTTGTTGCACCATTCATTCTTTCTCAACAAATATTGTGTCTTCCCCACTTGTTTTAAATGGACAAACAACGCCCTTTCTTTCTCTCTTTCTCTCTTTCTCATTTCCTCCGGAAGAAAAGGAATTGAAAATTGCCAAAGGTATTAATCACTTTCATCCATATTCTCAATTTCTTGTTCATCATATTGTAATATTTGTTTTTTTCTAGTTCTAATTGGAGTTCTCTTAACCCTGAAATAGGAAAGACAAAAAGGCTTATTGCAAAATATTTTTTGTGTCAAACGAATGAAAAACCCATTTTAAAATGTCATATGCTTATATTAGAAAAATCAAATATTTCAGAAACAAGAACATAAAGTTTAAGAATTTACTAAGGTCATGTGTTATGATGGGCTTGACGGAGTATAAAGGTATATAATGTGGAGGGATGATAAGATGTGTGTTGTGGTGGGTGAATGTGTGTTACGAAAGATGGGTGTGATGGAAGCTAATGTTTTCGAGGAGGGGCCGTCACCAGAAGAGGGGCAACGCCTTGTCGGTCACCCAACGAGGTGTTATGGAAAAGAGGTGTGATGGAGGGTAGCGAAGCCCCTCCTCACGCCCCATAACACATAGCAAAGTAAACATATTACTCCGTATAATTCTTATATATAACACGTATCTTGACATGAACTTCTCTCCTGACTTTAGTGGTAGTAAGCTCACCCCTCAGGATTTATGTAGAAGTTCACCTAGGTTCGAGCCCAGTAGAGTCAGAAACATTAGCTCTTTATGCGTTGTTAACTTAAAAATAGTATGAACAGATACTACATTGTAACATAGTCGATAACATTAAAAAACAGGTATGTTGACATTTATGCATTAATCATCCTCTTGAATTGCAGTAATTGATTTGGGAGGGCGGAAAATGTCACGGTGTGGGCTTTTAAGGGCATGCGGGGCATCACTCATAGCAATAGCCCACATTTTGTGCACCAGACTGCAGCATGTCAGAGGCCCAATAGGGTCCATATCCAATAAACTCTTCTCCTTTTCTCCTAATCTCCCCTCCTCCAAAAACCTCCACCGCCTGCCGCCGCCGCCGCGGCGGGGCCAATGGCTCTCGATCCTCCTAACATTCGCGGACGAGTGCATCTTCAAATCGGAGAGGATTGCGGAGGCGGCGTTTCCCCGATCGGCGCGGCTGTTCGATTCGATCCACGGCCTCGCCGACGGCCTTCCGGCGGCCTTTGAAGACGCGCTGGACAGGTTTCCATTTCAGGATCTGTTGGGCGTGTCTTCGAAGATCGGGTGGCTGAATCTGGTTGTATCGGCGGCGCTCAGCCATTATTGGGGCGGCGGGAGCAGCAGAAGTATGAAAGAGAAGGAGATAAGTGTGGATATGGGGTGGTGCATCAAGAAGAAGAAGAAGAAGAGGAAATGTGATGATAATGAAGATGAAGAAGATGAAGAAGACGCCTCATTTCCCGCTCTCCAATGCACAAAACGCGCCAAGCAGCCACAAGGCAGGAAGGAGAGCCTGCAAGGTGAGCATGCTGCTTTAATTTCCCATGTCTCTCATCCTAATTTCTTACATTAAAAAACTGGTGTACTTTTGACTTTTTTTAGTTAAAATTGTCATGTTTGGACTCTAAATTAAATAAAAATTATACTAGATATTGATACAAAAATAGTTTTATAAAATTTATCATATAGAATATTTTCAAAACATTATTTTATCTAATTAATATACAATATATATTTTATTTAATTAAAGGTCAAAGGTTGAAAACGGTTGACTGAAAAAGTCAAAACTGAATAATTATTTTTGAGATGAAGGTAGTAATAAAACATACGTCTTTTTCCAATATAGTAATTTAAAACTTTTTATTTTTTAAATAGTATTTGAATAATGTCCATTGGCGGTAACAATGCTCAGTAACGGTAGACATTTACTTTGAACAACGTCCAGTGGCGGTGGATATTTACTTGAACAATGTCCATTAGACATTGAACAGTGATTCTACATCGGAGAATAAGAACATATGGTGCTACATTGAGAAACTCACTATATTTTAGTAGTATATAGATAAAATTTCCAAATATTAAATAAAGTAATAGTCATTTCGCCCCTTGTTTTTTCATATCTCTCATCCTAATAAACTTTCACATTAAAAATCTATCTAAATAAGACTAGAAGTCTAAAAGAGAGAATACATATCAAAATACGGAGTAAGACCATGTGTTATATTTCTTAAATAGGAGCGTTGGCATTGGGAGATGCCTGCAATTTAGTTTTGTATGTTGGCATATCTCATAGTATTTTTTGGCATTATTTGACATTATATGTTATATTTTGGCAAAAAAATCATATTTTTCAAGAGCAGCTCACGAAGCTGATAATACAGAAGAAGACGTGTCAGGTGGAGGAAGAGGGACTACTACAAAGTGCACCTATAAGGATGTTCTCACCAAGGGGGTGGTGGTGAAAGACGATGAGGAAGAAGAAGAAGAAGAAGAACAAGAAGGCGCCGAGGAGTTATTAGATCATTTTGAAATGAAGAAAAAACGTTTTGATCATACAGAAGAAGAGTGTTTTTCTGAAGGAGACAACAATAATGGAGGAGGAGATTTTGTTTCAGGTGAGAAAAGGGTCAAGAATGGGAAAGGAAAAGGAAAGGGGGAGAAAGACCAAATCTTGCAACTATTTGATTCCAGCTGGAGTCTGTGCTAATTACTATAATTAACTCAAGATTCAACAAGTTAACCTTAATTATATATACTAGGTTTCCGATTTGTATCGGACTAATTTAAACATCTCAAACCTCATCGCAAGAATTAGGATAAATATGATATTCTTGTATGTTGTATATTACGGAGTACTATGTAAACTATACAATATTGTACACTATTTTAGATTTAGGCAAGGTCACCCTTTCATCCTCAAAATCGGCCAATGGTTAACCAAAAAGAGGTAAATTTAGCTTTAATCACAAATTAGCGACAAAGAATGAAGCCTGCACCTGGCAATAGTTGTTTCCCAGTTTAATTGCTAGGAATTAGACTCTCAAGCATCCCTTGCCCTTAAGTATATACAAAGTAGATTTTATGCTTTTTCATTTTTGTACTAAAGTATATAATTTTTTTGTATTATTAACTTTAATGTGTTTTATAGAAATCTTGTTGTGTACAGTACCTAGTAAGGTGTGTATTTTTTGGGATTTCGGACTTCACATGTAAGATTATCAAAACAATAACAATTCAATGAAAGATTATACTACCTCTCTTAGTATTAGTCAAATTTTGACTTTTTCAGTTAACTATTTTCAACCATTAACTTATAATTAAATAAAATATACGGAGTATATTGTATATTAATTAGATAAAATAATATTTTGAAAATATTTGATATAATAAATTCAATAAACTATTTTTTGTATCAATATCTATTTTTATTTAATTTGAAATCAAAGTTTATCAATTTTGACTTAAAAAGTCAAAAGTGAACAAATAATCCGAGACTATGTTTATCAATTTCGACTTCAGATATTTGAGGGAGTATGTTACTTCCTCCATTTAAAAATTATCTTCTAATTTGACCTTATTTTGTCAAAGTTTGTAAACCAGAGCAGAGAAGTTTCTTAGTGCAATCGACTTAAAGAGCTAATGGAAAGTTTTTTTACGAGTATATAAAATGCACAAATCTTGAACTGAATTTTCACAATCTCTAAATTACAAAATTGACGAGCACGAAATCCTATACAATCCGGTCGTTTTTTCATTCCCGGAAGATTTGAGTTCGAAATGTCATTTTGTTTCCTTTTCTCTGGTGTTCACAAAACTGCTAATGACTTTGAATTACTAGCCCCCTTTGCTTACCGAGGCAGACACAGACGGAGAAGGAGAAGGAGAAGAAGGAGACAGAGCCGCCTCAGGAGATGAGAGAGTTTTGGAATTGACATTGCTGTCCTCAATGTCTTTTCTGGCAGTTCTACTGTCATGAAGTTTCATATTTTTCTTCTTTGGCTTAGAGAACATATAGGCTGCCATTGTAATAAAAAAAAAACATACTTCATGTTATGCATGAACAATGAAATAGAAATTATAGCCAAAGCAGTAAAAATGTGTCAGATTAATGATTCGGAACATAGGAAAAAACAGATATGACAATAATGAATTAGGTATAAATTTATAAAGTTACATAAAAATTTGAGACCATGGGGAAATGGCATTTTTCCTTCAAATTATGACACCAGTTTTTCCCTTGATTACACATATACACAATGCATTTGGGGATTGAACCTTTTGCAGATCTCTGTTGCAGTTTGTCAAATTAGAAGGCAGTTGGGTTTAATAGCAAATTTCATATCAATTTTCCTTCCACTATAAGTCAACATTCAAAATCTTAAAGAAAGAAATATTTTCAAAAAACAAAAATCTATCGTCTTTTGAAGGAACCATATAGCCCATGTTATTGTTATCTTTACTTCTTTAAATTCTTTACATGCTTATTAGTTTTAACGTATTGGGGTTTGAATCTGTTGGGGATGTCAAATAGATGAAACGTAGGCCAAATAGTAAAGTACTCCATACATGTATCAAATTTTCTTCCGTTGTACGGAGTAACTTGTAAGTATACTTTCAAATGTCAATTTAAATTAGACTATTAGAACAAATAATTATAATGAAAAGTATATACATATAAAGAAGAACAATGTGAGAAATAAAAGCAATTCGAGAGCTAAAATGACTCCAGAAAAACTTACTGAAATTAGTTAAACAATTGTCTAGGCAAAGTACATGTCAAACAGATTATACACATAATTGAAAAGCTAAAATTATTTTGTCAAAGCGAAAAAGAAAGAGACCCAATTTGAGAACCCAAGAATAGTTGATCAAAGAAATAAGATATGAGATTGAACTGACCTGCAAGACCAAGATTAGACACAACAAGAACACGCCAAACCCCCACAAGCCGTTTCATTTTCGATTCCATTTGGAGATATATATATCTGGCCATATTATTAAAGAGCACATAATTCAAAAGTTAAATGTGATACCGCATATGTCTAAGTGCTTAAAAGTTACAGGTTAATAACATTATTTTCACTGTGCCTGGCTAAAAATTGTTTACTGTTTTTGAACTCTCTAATTTTTTTCAAACACTGTTTTAATGGAGCAATGTAAGCATCAATACAGAGGTTGAATCGTAGAGATAATCTGAGTCATAGACTAATTCCTAACATGTTTTAACAACAATCATCCCAATTTTCTAATGAATGAACAAAAAATAAGAATGAACAAAAAATAGAACACCAATTTAGAAACCCAATTGAAACTTCAGTACGCAAACAGACAGCATTTCCATGGTTAAACTTTAGGCCAGAACAATTAATTTCTTTTCTTAACTGGCCAAACTAGAACTAAGACATTTTCTGAACTACTTTGTACTGGTTTCTTCTTTAATTAATAACACCGGTTCAGGCAATTCTTGAACAGCTGGTTTCTTCATTATTGAAAGTGGTTTCAATATTAATAAAACTGGTTTCTATATTACCTACATTTACTGTTAACAGAATATATGTGGGTTTTACTAACACAGTAACATGGCAAATTGATCTGTTTCTGCACTAACCTGTACGAACATCTTTTAAAACCTCTTTTTTTAAAAAAAAAATAGTAGTCATGAAGATAACTGAAACCCAAAAAACAAGAGATAGACTACAATGCACTCATATAATGCAAATTTTTAAAATAGATCAAATAAATGCTTTGATTATCAATCACATAAGAAGGTCCATGTGCAACTTAGGTACACATGAGAATTTTCCAGAAAGCAACAATTGCTAGCACCTTAAAACAACAAGAATGACATCAGAAAGCCCCAAATTAAAAATCTCATATTGGAGAAAATACTGCAGCAAATGAATCAACCGATTAACAGAAACATCAGTACATCACAGAAATTTAATGAATTAGCATATTCTGAAATTTCATCAACCCTTACTATACTAGATCCCAGTTGAATAAAAAACTTCCGATGGAGAATAAAATTTGAAGAAAAAATAGGCTAACCTTGACCAAAGATTTTATGGAAATCTGTGCCCCCGGGAAAGTGAAAGAAAATCTGACAGGGAGACGCAAAGGGTGAACTCCAAATGGAAAATAGAGGAATGGCCGAATAGGGATTTGGATTTATAAAACTCGACTAGAAATCATCATTTGAGTACTAATTAATTTGACATTATGTGTTGTTATTTTATACCAATTAGTACTCAAATGATGATTTCTAGTCAGGTTTTATAAATCCAAATCCCTATTCAATCATTCCTCCGTTTTCCATTTGAAGTTCACCCTCTCCGTTTTCCCGGTGGCTTAAACTCTTTTGTTTGTTCAAGCTTCAGAAAATAGGCACCTTAGTCTGGTTAAGTTATTTTTGCAAAATCATGGCAGTGAATCAAAAGCAAAGATCAATTAAATCACAGAAGCAGCCTGGGCTAAACCCATTCAGTGCCAACCTGATTACAACCAACTGTTTGGCACTCAAGTCTACCTCCCTTAGCAATGATGTGCTCTCGGGAGGCTAGATTGACATGGAGAGGTTCATAGAGTTCGAATGCCAATAGGCATTTGAACTAAATGATCTATTCCAAATAATATTTATGCCAATCCGAACACACAAAGCCAAAAAAAATTAAGCACATAAATAACAACACTAGCTTTAACACATGCCAATCACTCACAAATAACCTAACCAAACCAAGGGCGATGGTCACTCTTCACTCATTTTCATAATATACAAACAAATTATCAATCGAAATCTGCATAAACAACAATTCAAATGGGATATTGGCACATTCAGTTCGCAAGCACACAAATATGGCAGAATCGCACACACAACACCAAATAGCAACACCCAACCATGATTCAACAGACCAAACACAAACGAAACTAAAATTCACAAAACAATCTCAGATTTCAAGCTGTAAACAAAAGATCTTAGTATAAAACTATTAAATCTAAGGTTTAGAGTTCGTCACCATGGAAGTTCCGCTCTAGATTGAGCTTGGAATCGGCCGTCCTCTCTCCGATGGTGGCGCGAGCGTGTTGAGACTCACAGGATGAAGGCGTTAACCGGCAAGAAACCTCTCTCTCGTAGCTGTTCTCGGTGGTCTGTATCCTTAGAAAATTATATTCCCTATAGATTAACTTTTGTTTGCAAAATTTAGTCATATTTTATCACATTTTATTTTGTAAAATTTTAATGTAATTTTAAATAACGTAATTTATATTTTTTATGATATGTTAATTTGTAAATAAAATAATTTTTTTAAAAATAAAATTTTATACATTGTTTAAAAAGAAAGTTAATTATTGGGCGAAAAGAGCATGAAATAATAGTGTACGGAGTAATTGAAATATACTCTCTATCGTATAACTTTCTTTTTAGCTAAAACATAAATCGTTTTCCAATGTAAAACATAAATTTTTTTTATTCCTTAAATAATATTTAATAATGTTCAGTGGGAGAAATAATATTCAGTGATATTGAACATTTACTTGAATAATGACTAATGAATAATGATCAATACATTGTGAAATGAAACTATATAGTCCTATATTTAATAAAGTCATTATGTTTTAGTCCTATTTGGGTAAATTTGCTTCTTTTTTATTTAACATTTCACGATCTCTAATAATCTGTATGATATTTTTACCATTAATACTTCTTTTTGTATATATAAACATAGTTTATAAATATATAATTTTTCAAAATTATGTTTCAAAATAAATTTATTGATATTAAATTTATATACAAATACAACTTATATTCTTTTAATTTGTAATCAAAATTTATAAACACTGACCATAAAAGTCAAAATAGTACCCCTTCCGTCTCTAAAAAGATTGTCGTAGTTTGACTTTTTTTGTCATATTATGGCTATCTTTGACCACAAATTATAGAAAAAATTTATTTAGTTATAATGTAAATGTAGTAAAATTGAGTTTATAATAAAATATAGTTTTAAAATATCAAATTTTAATAATATTTAATTATTTTGAGCTTTATTTAATTCATGGTTAAATCGTGCCACAATTTGACCAAAAAAATCAAATTAAGATAATTTTTTAAGAACAAAAGGGGTATAAGACTTAAGGAAAGTACGAAGTACTCGGATTGTATTTAAAATGGGGTTTGCCCCTCTATTTTAGAAGCATACCCCGTATCAGTGAGGCGTAGCTCAGCGGTTGGGCATAGGAGTGCTATAAGGAAGAGATCTCGAATTCAAAGCCTAGCGGTTGTGAGGAAAGGCAACCATGCAAAGTATGGAACTTCTGCAAGTATCAGGCGCAAAACTCTACTTTTTTGTCAACTGACTGAAATTATAGCTCAATTTACTTCGTCTCAGTTAACTGTTCAACTGGTGCTGAGACACTCAACATGTGGTGTCATCCTTTTTTTAGATGCATACTCCATAATTCCATATTGCATTTCTAATGAATTGAGTCACAGTCCAAATTGGACATAGCCAAAACTAATTTTATGTGAAAAAATGTCTAAAACTGTCATTTCAAAGATAAAACATATGTCAAGTCTTAAAAGTGTGTAGAAAATTGATAAGTTAGTACTATGATGATATTTTAAATGATAAATACTTATAATAGACTACTTAAATGTGAAGAAAAAATATAAAATTTAAGAAACTCAACAAACACTCACACTTAACTCTTGGCTGCCCTCAGGCCTCAGCCAAGTCATTAAAAGAACAATGAAAGATGTAATTTCGAAATTGATCAAAATCCAAATCCTCCCATGATGTACATGTTTCACTCTTCTCTTTTTACCAAAAAATTGTCACTTTGAACACTTCTTTGCCCTCAACCATCCAAAAAATAGTTTATTTTGAAGAGTGATTATTACATGATCTTAAAATTCATATTTAAATTCATATTTTAAATTGGCTTGTATGTGAATATTTTCTTTTTTGCAAAAGACTCATTTCTTTTATGCTACAAAGACTTTAAGGTTCATAAAATAAGAATGATCTTAGGTCCATAGAACAATTTAATTATTGAAATGGTATTATCATATATTTTAAAAGAACTAGCTTATACAATTGATTTTTAACACTCCTTTTTGAGAAGATAAATTAAGAGCAAATTATCATAATTAAGATCCTATTGTTTTGAGTTGAAAAAATTAACTTTTAACTTCTTCCAGATTCTTCCAACAACAATTTAAAAAATTATTTATACATGATTAATATAAAATAACATTATATATGTAAATTAATTACACGTCGCCTCAAACATAGACTATGATAAATTCTTTTTTAATCCAAAATTAGTATTTTCTTATATATTTCTTTGGCTGATCATTTAATTGAGTGATTTTTTTAACACTTAATATATAAATTTTTTTTGGCTGATCATTTAATTTATGTAACTTTATTTGGCTGATCATGTATTATCTTAATATATAAATTTTATTTTTTTAATTGTACACCATTTTTCATATAAAATGATTTAAAAATATTTCAATCATATGTCGTTAACCAAAACAAGTAATATAAATTGGGACAAATATAGTAAAAGTCAGGAAGCAAGGAACGCACACAAATATAAAAGTAAAGTAAAAGGTTAACTATCTTAAACCAAAGGAGCTAGAGAGACTAGCACAGAGTCTCACAGAGCTAACTAGTTATCAAATCCTAGATCTCTCCAAACATTTCTAAGGTCATACCCTCATTTAGGACTAAATAACCTAGATACATAACCAATTTTAAAACAAAAACATAACATAATTTAAAATTAAAACATAAACTTGACATCGGCCTCAAATTTTTTCCTTCCCCTTCTCGATCCTAACCAGACTTTTTTCCTTTCGCTTTGCTTTGGCCTTGGCTTTTGTCCCTATTCATCAGCCTCGGTAGCTCGTCCTCGAGCAATTCATCATTCTCTTCCACCTCGTTTAGATCAATATAGCAATGTCGTCCAACCCTTGACTATGAAAATATAATGTGAAAAAAACATTAGTAGTATAAACTAACAACACATGAAGTCAAATTTCTAACATCTTACTATGCCAACACTTGGGAAATGAAACAAAAAAGGTCTTATTTTAATATAAGTTCCTTGTTTTATATACTTGTCTAAGTAGATTTTTTACCACCACCCAAAAAAGTACTCCCTCCGTCCAAAAAAAAATAAAAAATTCTCACTTTTCTTGTTGGTTCGTCCTAAAACTTTAACTCTCCAAATTGAATACTCGTAGCATATACATAAAATAAGATTGCAGATGTTGTGCAACTGTAAAAGCCATGGACACTCACTCAGCTTTGCTTGACGATACTATTTATGCTGGGAAATCTCGAAGACCACCGCGAATATCCTGCGTGTAAAGAAACAATAAGCCACCATGAGTCAGAGATTCTAGAATCAGTTTTTTTTGTAGGCAATCCAAGAATTCAAGTCTGGAACTGGCAGTTACCAGATTCAATGATCTCATAAAGGTCCATCTCGGACTGGACATCGCTAGGCTTGTCCTGCAATGAGGGAAACTTGTAGTAAGTAATTAACCCAGAATTATCCTACAGATTGGGGTTTGGGAGCAATTGGGAACAGATATCTTTTTTTTACCTGTCTGACAGATGCAAGACTTCTTGCTATGAGGCGATAAACACGGTTGCAAGTGGCTCTATCAAGCCCATAGTTCAGAAGAGCATCTTCTGATGTGTGGTCGAATACCAATGAAGATATGCTTGAAGCCATCATGATTACAGAGAGGTCGTGAGAGTTCTCTGCATCAAAGAAGCCCAAACTTAATGAGAGTAAACAAAAATATGACTAGTTGGAAATTTTTGTTCTTTTGCTCGAATTAAGTTTTTAAAAAAGAAAAAGACAAGATGCTAATCAAGAAGTCCACAACTGTGGTTGTAATAAGTCATGAACTCAACAATTATATGCTCGAAATAATTTGAATCGACTGGGGAACTTCTAAGAGATTTAGAGCCTACCTGCCCAATATGTCAATGCTTTCAGAAGGTGAACAAAGGACGACACGTCCAATGAAAGTTGTAGCTCCTGCCTCTGTTAAAAAAAAAGCATTGTTAGTAATAAGTTGTGTGGCATCCATGGACGAGGGGAAAACTACCTTTGTGAGAAGGTTGAGGACTGTATCACAAGCCAAGAAGATGCCACTACTATCCTCCCTAGTATCGGCATCCTGACTGACCAGTTTTACAAGGCAATCCACAACCTACACAGAACGTATTGATGCAAGAAAACCCCCATAAGTAATGTTACCAAAATATAACACACAACAATCATAGAAGAAAGGAACATTTGAGCAATAAGATGGAAAAACACAAGATCAAAGGTCCAGCAAATCTAATGCACTAAAAAAGTGGGGAAATGTGAAATTGATCGGTTAAAGAGCTATAGTCACTTACAGCTTTATGTCCTCCCGAAGAAACTAAATGTTTGCATCCTTCAGAATTCATTGTGATTTGACAGAGCAGAGGCATCAAAAAGCAGACAGAGGAAAAGGGGCTGCCAAATTAGGGGGAAAGAGTTCAGCAATATTAACCGCCAGTAAAAAGTACCTGAAAAATACACTCCTAACATAAACATACCTTGGCTCATCTTCGCCTTCCACTGAGAGCATATAAGGTAGAAGCTCTGTCACCTTATCTTTCCATGCAATGGGTGTTTCCGCAAGATAACTATCAAAACAAAGAAAGATGGTATTAGACCGACTAATGCCGAGAAGATAAAATGTATTCACAAATTGCTACCACAGGGGTTTATTGAACGCCACAAGACCGCAGTATTTACTCATGTAAGTTGCAGTATCTACCGTAAAAGTTAAAACTACATGTTTAAGAAAGGTAAATGGCCTAAATGATATGATACATTTTAGAAAAACAAAACTAATTGTTCAAGGTCAAAGTATTATTTTTAGAGGCTGTTTTTTTACTGCTTACTAGGAAGGTAAACTTTAAATCAACTCTAACTTTTCTTCAGCCAGTCACACCTCACAAGTTCACTAGTGCAAAAGTAAAATTCAAATTTATTTATTCTCCCTTGTTTCCTTTCTAATCCATTTACCTATTCACAATTGTAATATACATATTGACTAAAGAAGAAGACTGGATTCGGGTCTTCCGAAATTTTTCCACTCAACCAACTGGAAAATGACACTTATGGTAGCCAGGACCATGTTGTGAGCATCAATCACTTGTGAAAAACAATCAGAAAAGAGATCTGAAATTTGTATTCATCCATTAAACATTGATGAGCAAAGAACATGAATGATAAAAAAAAAAGTGCAGAAATGAAGGTGTGCATTGTGATATACCTCCCAACAACCCGCACAGATGCTAATAGATCGTCTCCTTTCTTTTGACCATGATCCTGCATCAGGCAAGGTTAAGAGCTGAGCTCATATTTGAAGTTAAAAGAAGGAATAAAGCACTTCCTCGATAGAAATATTACCCTAGCATCTTGTAAATACTCCAAAACCAAATTAATTGTCTCATTCAGCCCATTGATGACTTTCATAAAGGTATTATCTTCAATAAGATTTCCTGCAAACCATTTGCATGTAACATTCCAAGTCAATAAAATTCCCCAAATATCATTTACAGTGATGACAAACACAGAATACTGAAACAAGAATTGAATTGTAAGTAGCTCATGCAGGTCATAAAAATCATGCAGAAAACAAAGAAATACATCACTGGAAGTCGAACTTCACTTGAAAGAAATGTCTTAGTAGTTAACTGGCTGAGTCTATTTAAGCCTAGTTATGTTACTCAATAATAGTTCATCCCGCCACCCCCACCAAACTGTTATTAATCAGAAGAGCAGGTGCAACACAAAATGCAGATATTGCACTATCATTTCTAGATGAAGCTGAAAAAAATTTTATTTTCTGGAAAGCAAGTCAATAACATGTACCCCAAAGTATATGAGTAAATGAAAACAGTATATGCAAGAATTTCTAAAGTTCAGACATTAACATGCAAAGTAATGGTCAATAGCATGTATAATAGTATCTGGGAATAATATATGAAATGATAAGTTCTAATAAAGATCCCTTTTTATGTGGATAATTACTAACATAACAGCTTGATAAACTTCCAACACTTTTGGGGTAATTAAATACCTCCTTCTTCGCTGATGACTGAAACTAGTTTAATAATCTTTTCAACCAAGGCAAAAGCAACAGCAAGATGTCGACTCTTCAAGAAAATACTTTCAATGGTGGGTGATGTTTTATTTGAAGCTTCATATTTGAGGTAAGCAATATCATTCAGCAGAACAGCAATTTCAACACGGGAAGACTCCAAGACTAGTAGAAGACACCTATAGCAAAAAATACAGTAATACAGTAAAAAAATAAGCATGCAACCACTTAAATTACCTGCCAGCTGGAACTTGTTTAGAGACCCAAATTACCTGTCAGCAGGAACTTGTTCTTGCAACTCAGGCAATTTAACTGGACTAAGCAGCCATCGCTCACTGGTTATTGAAATAGCAAACTCAGCTAAAACTAGGGCATGCAGTTTCTCAGCAGGAGCTACACAGATATGAAAAGGAAGAAGAGCATTAGTGTTTTCATAGACTGTTTTACCAAAATTAATTCTTAATATTAAAAAGCATGTAATTCATTTGCTTCAAGTGGATGATGTAGATCTATCAATGATATGTAATGCTAAACAAACTTTTTTATCATGTACAAGCCAAGAGACATATTGTAAAAATTCTGGTCAACTTTATTTACAATTTATTTCAATGCCTATAAAGGCAAAGGTCTACATCCAGATGAATTTATGGCCTTTATTTCATATTTTCATAGCCACGGGGCTCATGCAAGATGAGTTCAAATTTTGCACTAGAACCAACAAAATGACACCGTTGCAGTTAATTCCAATTCGGCAATTCCAATATTTAAAGCACAAGAACCTCAACTGGAATATCTTCATTTCTCATTTTAGGGGTTCTTATTAGCTTTGGACAAAGCAGGTTACCACCAAGTACTGGTTAAAAGAGTCGGTCATTGAAAGCTGAGGCACTAGGATATGAAAAAGAAAAACTACTCTTCCACATTAATGTGAGGCATACAGTTTACATACCTACCCTATTCTGTAGGATTGCGACAATACCGATGAACAGATAATCTAACCAATCCTTGGTTGGCAATTGACCAAGTGCCCCCTTGAGTGGTCCCTAGAAATTTTCAAAAGCCTTAATTTCAATTTGAAAGGAAAGATAGTTAGATAACATAAAATATAGAGCACATATCAACAGATTAATGACCACGTGAGAAAGAAGCGAGAACATAAACATTGTTCTGCAGAAAAGAACATCAATCTGGGCAATAAGGTATCAAATGAGAATTTGTATATGCGAAAAATTAGGCAATTCAAGCCTTCACATCCAATAGGAAAAAGATCTTCTTCAAAGTTGGAGGGATCATAAAATGATTAAAAAATAATCCAAAGCATTGAGAATCGTTCTGCAGACTTGATCAATACTTACTGAATAGTCTGATGAGAAAATTGTAGAAAGCAGATGAAGCGCATCAAATTTCAAAGCGCTGTGCAGCATAGCAAATTGTCTCATTAACGCAACCACCTGCAGCCAAACGGATATTTTGCATATATATAAGCCTGAATGGCCCCACCAGAGAATGAAGCCAATAGCACACTCATTTAANCTAGATCCACAAACTACTAATTATGGATCATATGATGCAGCAAAGATTGATAAATCAAATTCCACTTGGTTTGCGCACCTACTATGGCTAATGATCAAAAAATTACCATCAGAAAAAGTAGATATTTGGGAAGCTAATACCCTGATTCCTTGGTATTGAAACAGAGTTTTGACCCCGTCTTCATTTGCAGAAGATGTTAAGTACAAAAACTCATAGCAGTCTTCAAGGACAGGTGAAACTGATCTGGCCACAAAGAAAGCAGAAACAAGTAATAAGAAAATGTCTCCCCTAAAAAAAGTAATAAGAAAATGTCAACAGAAATCGCGAAAGGAAATGCAAATTTGCAACACATCTCCGAGTTATTTGTAACCACTCAATATACTCGTCCATTTATTATAATCTAATAACACTATAACAGAATACATAGAATATTCTTTAGCCATCTCGTAAAAACTATTTCAAGGCTCAAAACTCACTCTCTAGACATGACCTCCAATATGACAGGAATTCTGGAGACCATCTCTTTTGAAGAAGCAATATCTGGAACACGGCAAAGTGTGGCAAGGACTGCTACAGCCAACCGCAAATACGCGTCGCGATTGTCACTTTCACAGCCACTTGGTCCGTTTTTCATCCCTGACGACAGAGGACCATAAAATCATCAGGTACAAGGAAACCCTTCCAGAACTGTAGAACTTACAACAGACACTTGGGCAATGTACAACAACAACAACAACCCATTTGAATCCCACTACAGTAGGCTGGGGAGGGTGTGTGTACGCAGACCTTGCCCCTACTCGGGAGTAGGGAGGCTGTTTCCAAGAGACCCCCGGCTCAACCTGCACAAAAATATGGAAGGGAACACAATATAACACGGGTAAAGAGCCAAGTACAAACACTTGGGCAATGTGCAAAAAATAAAACATGAGTAACATCAAACATCTCATATGGTTTATCAATTACAAACTAAAGAAGAATTGAATAAACAAACCCAACCGCAGGGCTAAATTAAAAGGGCAGCAATTCAAACTAAACGCAATCATCATAAGAGAGACAGAGCCTTGAGAAATTTACCAGTCCTCAGAAGACGATCAAGAAACTGAGACCCAAGAGCTTCGTAAACCCTAAGAATGGAAGCATTGTCATCGCCTTTGCAGAACTTGGTGACCAAAAGCAGACCGGCCAGCCGTTGCTCGTCTCTCTCGCCTTTCAACAAATTCAGGCAAGCTTCAAGCAAGGAGGAAGACTGCTCTTGCTGCGACTGGAAAAACAAGAAACAGGGGTTCCCCCAAACAAAGACATCTTGAATTGCAACAATTTGTAACACCCAAGAGAATAAGCCAACGGGGGGTTGAGAAATTTATCACTGCAATAACAAGAGCGGTTACCATTGGGATTTGAGACAAGGTTTCGGGAGCGCTATGTCCAAAGAGACTTGAGCTGAGGAAGAAATGGTTCTGGTACTCCACTCCTGAAACAAAAGAATTAGACTTCATTGTGCAGGAACTTCATGATGAAATTTTGTCCCTTGCCAACAACAGGGAAGCCTCCCGACGATTCTGAATTTGAAGTACTCATAAGATCAACTTCAAGGCATATGCTAGATTTTGGGAAACTAAAATGCTATTTTAGCTTCTGTAAAAAATGCTATTTTAACTTCCCAATTTAGCATTCCACTTCTTCGGGCCTGTTTGGGATTAGCGTTAGAGGTTAGCGTTTTGAAAAGGCTATCTACGGACAACTTTAGTGTTAGCGTTTTCCAAGTTAATCTGCACCGTTAAAACTTTATCCAAAACGCTAATGCAGATCAAAAACATTATTCCCAAACGGGCCCTTCATCCATATCATTTATTTTTAATTTTTAAAATATTTTATTACATTAAACTAATTGATTTTATACATATACTTTATTCATATTTTCATTATTTATTAATATTTATGTATGGAGTAAATAATATGATAAAAATATTTTTATTATTATAATATTTCTATTTGAAATTATCTTTATACTCATAGTACATTTTAGAAAAAAAATCCTAGGTAATTGGTTTTGGGATAAGATTGGGATAAGATTTGCTATCCTATTGTTGGTGCTTGCTGCCATGTGGTTGAAGAAGTATAAAATGCTAAACAACAGTAACCATGCGAAGAGGAAGGAGAAGTGTCATAAATGCAAAGCCAAAAAATGAAAAAAAAAATAGAAGCCACGCAATACCATTTATAATTGGATGATGAAAAGTCAATTATAGAAGGCCCTTTATTGTTCGGAGTGTCCTTTGGAGCCCTTGTTTTGCAAAAGTAAAGTGCAAATCTTCTATTTTTGGCTTATGGCATTCCCATTAAAATTTCCCTAATGTTCTAGTCTTTTTTATTACAGCGCAGTGTTCTAGTCTTATACACTAACTTTGTAGGCACATGTCATGGGGAATTAAGAGTTTGTTCCCTTCAACTTATTCTTGTTGGAATCAAATCAGATCACGTCGCAAACAACTCTAAATATAACTGCAATAATATCAGATCTGATTAGAACAAATGAGGTAAGTTGAATAGAACAAGCCCTAAGACTATATTTCTTTGTGGACAAGGTAATAAGCAAATCTCTAATGCCCACTTTTTTTCTTTCAAAAAATAAAAATGATTTTGACATGGGAAAATCCACAAAAAGTAGTGTAGACTTTAGGTCTATCAAAATTCAAAGAAGCACTCAACTTTATAAGGTGTCTTTTATTTCCTAAAATGCTTTCTGACCAAGTTCACAAAAAAAAATTGGTTTTGACTCTTAAGAGTAAAAAGTCTAGGTTAATTAGGTTTGGTTTTAGATTAAATAAAATCTTAGTTTTGGAAAAGTCAATAGTTTATTCCTTTCGTTCCAGAAGGTTTGTCTGTTTTCATTTTGGAACACATACCTAGAAGAGGAGAATATGGAGGTGTTAAGGCTTGTCGCGAGCCTAACAAATTAGTATCTAAGTACCAACTAATACTATACTAAATTAAAAGGGTGGCATAGTAGCAATCACTCGCAAGTAAGGTCATTCTTCCACAGGGAGAGTATAATATTTGTTTTGAGCTAGACTGTTCAATGAACTCACACACATGAAGAATTTGTTTGGAAACGAAGTGAAAATAAAGAAGAACTAAAGTAAACTAAAGAAGAGATAAAGTAAACTATTTCAGACTCCACAAGATCAACAAAGTAAACTAAATTGGATTTGAAACTTCATTTCAAAAAAGCACCTTGGTTTGGTTTACAGGTTTGCAAAATCATGACACTTTATCATTAGCAAAGTCAGTTTAATTCAAAGAAGCCGTTGGGGCTGATGAACGAAATTCATCCACAAATTCATACAAAGTAGTCTAACTTGAACATAGCCCCAAACACTAAACCCTACCTCTCTTAACAACCCCATGAACTGCCAAGAGATTTAGTTAAGAGAGGAGCATTAAACCTAGAAATATGCTACCCAAAATCCCACTACACTCCCACTAGCGAGAGCATATAATGAAGACAATATTTAAATGGCCAACAGACACAAATCAATGTAACTGATAACAACCTGCTATTTTGGCACTTGGGTCTGCCTCCCCTAGAAATGAAGCACTATCAGGATTTAGACTACCACTATTGTGCAGGGTCATAGAGTTCAAACAGGTATTTAAACTAAATAATTTGTTCCGAATAAGATTCAAACACATCGGAACACACAACTTTTCAAATCAAACACATTGATAGCATTATTACACTTCAAAAGAATCAACATCTACAAATCTCATAAACCTAACTAAGGCACTGCAAATTACTCACTCATGTTCATATTAAGCCAGCGATTATTATTAACCCAAATCTCAACAAATAATAATTCGAAATCAGATAATAGTAAATTCTATTACAAACCAACACAAAAAAGTTATACCAACCAATTCGACTCCCGTGCCGGAAAATGTTGTTTGCTGCCGTTATTCACCGTTGGCCTGAGACTCGCCGGATTCTCCTCGGCCTCCTCCAACGAGACGAGCAAGGATTGACGGTGCTAAAACAAGCCCCTTGATGTTGGTTGGATCTGACCCAAGGTAGTCTTGAAAGAACTCATACTATTGTCTGCCGAATCCACGAGACTCATCTGCTCTCCCTGCACACTTAGTTATTGCTTCTCATATTTCGAGTGGCTGGAGTAATGATAGGTGCATCAGCAGCGGCAGGTTAGGTTTACTGAAAGGGTCTTTTCTGTTTCTACATCAAGCTTCTCGCGGAAAACTAACACTATGTTTGGTTCAAGGAATTTGAAATGGAAAAGAAAAGAAAATGAGATGGAAAATAGTTTTTCTTGTTTGGATAGAGAGGAAAAGAAAAGAAAAGTAGAAGGAAAATGAAATGAGAAGACAAAATATATTAAGAGGAGAGAAAATCAAATTCCTTCCATTTTGGTGAGGAAAATGAGAGAAAATCATTTTCTTTTCTTTTCCTTCCAATATCCTTGAACCAAACATAGTGTAAGTTTTTACTGCATCAACCCAAACCTCCATTCAACCACCCTCCCATCAGTCACAACAGATACCCAAGTGATGCACAATCCACTTAAAACACAAGATAAAACAACAAAATGTGAAGGGAGAGCACACGAGTCTCCTGGCCAAGGTGAACAACGTTATGAGTGCTTTCAGGTAAACATTGGATCAGATCCAAGCTATCATGAGGGCTAGCTGCAGCAGGTCCTTGTTAGGTGAGGAGTGAGTGGGCCAGTTTTCTATTAAATGACTTTTTTTGTTCTTGGCCTCTACTATTCATGTCGTGATGGTGTAGTTGATGAGAGTCATTCGCAGGGAGTTAGAAAATTTACTATTCAGAAATTCTAGCATTAAAAAATTTAAAAAAGACCTTTTAAAGTTTAAGGAGACCTGTAGAGGTATGTTCTAGACCTGTGCAAATAAGGATCCGGGCCGGATCTGGGCCGGGCTTGATACAAATTATTAGCCCATTTGAATGGGCAGGCTCAGCCCGGATTTGATGGGCTAAACTCTTTACCCATACCCGCCCACTTTAGCGGGCCGAACTGCCCACCGGGCCGCCCGGCCCAGATAAAACATCAAGTACATTTTTTTACACAAAAAAAATCAAAAAGAAAATACTGAATTCCTTTTCAAATGTTTAAAATAAAATTACCACTCGCCACATTTACATAGAAAACATAATAAAAATATTGTTACATAATTAATAAACTCATCATACAGATTCATTAAAACACTATTGATTTTTGTTTAAGAGAGGTGAGTGATATGAACTATTATACATGAATTAAAGAAAATTTTAAAATTTATAATGTCTAGATAATTAATACGTAGTAATGAATTAAATGTACTAATGAATATGGGCGGGCCTATTGGCCCGGATGGGCTAAAAGTAATTTCCATATCCGCCCAAATACAATTCGGGCTTGGGCCGGCCCGCCCATGTGGGTATTAAAGATTGTCCATATCCGCCCATTTNGGTGAGTGATATGAACTATTATACATGAATTAAAGAAAATTTTAAAATTTATAATGTCTAGATAATTAATACGTAGTAATGAATTAAATGTACTAATGAATATGGGCGGGCCTATTGGCCCGGATGGGCTAAAAGTAATTTCCATATCCGCCCAAATACAATTCGGGCTTGGGCCGGCCCGCCCATGTGGGTATTAAAGATTGTCCATATCCGCCCATTTTAAAGGGCGGGCTGGGCGGGCCGGACAGGCCGACCCTTGTTTGCACATGTCTAGTATGTTCGCGAGGAACAAGGACTGAGTGGAACTATGAAGGTTCTAGTGTGAATCTTCATAGGGTCCGCCTCTTTAAACAAGGGAATGAAAGCTTGAAAGGGTAGAATATCGACATGCTACAATTACCCTCTTTGTTGTTTTCATCTTCACTTGGAAATTGCTACAAATGCCCTCTTTGTTGCTTTCATTTCAACAGTGCTATGTCTATCAACCGACGTATAGTACTATGTATTTCTCTAATCCCGTTTGCTTTCCAATTATCTACCCAAAACTTATTTTTTCAGAATCTAAAACAAATGAAAACTACTGTTTATGGGGTGAGAATTGACATAATCAAGAGTATCAGCTTTTCATAACCAAAGCCAAATGAGACCTTAGTTTTTAGTCTTCTTGTTGTTTTCAATTATTTAAATGTTGAGCAGCAGTTGTGTGGAGTAATGGATTATTGAAAAATACTAATTGTGGCAAAATCAAAATTCAAGCTTTTAAGAATTTAAAAAATGGGAGTGGTAAATCAGCTATGCCTCTCACCATGTAAATTGAACTGAAATGTTCTATTTCCCACTGCACGATCTCCAAGAAAAATTTTATTTTGGCTAAGAAATTTATAATAATCCGATTAAAATGCAGATTTATGAATGCATAACATTAAAACTTAAATGCAAACATTTTACAACAACAATGAAGCTTCATGTCCCAACAAACAACAACAACCCAGTTAAATCCCACAAGAGAAGGGTTTGGGGAGGGTGTGTGTACGTAGACCTTACCCCTACCAATGTTTGAAATTGCGTATTGCGGTTTTGAGGCGTTTTCTTTTCATGGCGTATTGCGTAAGCCTCGAGGCGTATTGAGGCGTAAGCCTCAATTTTTAAATTGAAAAATATCCACAAAACAATTTAAAACTAAAGATAGAACATAATATATAACATAAATAATCCAAAAACATTAAAAAAGCATATTATCAAAGTAATACATCGCAAACACAACAAAGTCTAACATAGAATAAGGCATAATATTGCTCAAAGTGATGAGCTTAAATTGAATAATTGAAAAAAAGTTCATCAGTGTCTAACATCTTGAAATTAGGATCAAAAGATTAGCACAACAATTATCAAAAAAAGAATAAAAAAGAGATTAACAACTAAAAAGATGCATCACTATCCAACTACTTGACAAAAAACACCAATTATAAACTCCAACCATAAAAAGGAAAATTGAATGCTCGTGTACTTCATAAAATGATAACAAATAAAAGTAATTAAATAAATTTATCAAGATAATAAGTTAATAGTAGATCATAAATCCTCCGACTATCATCCATCCATTCTTATACCATTTGCCGGAAAGAAAAAAAATCGTACCTGCTCTAGACACAGAAAACAAAGACGCACAAAAGATGAATCGCACCTGCTATTGCGATGGAGATGAATCGTAGCTTGGAAATCTCAGCAATTAGGGTTGCAATTAAGGTCATCGACAAGGTAATTTTAAAATATATACACTTAATTGGGATAATTGACAACTTTAACCTTTGATTTCCAAAATTTTACACGCTAAATTGCGTATGCCTCATTACGCGCACCAGTGCGTACGCCCCATGGCGTAAGCCTTTAAGCAAATTGCGTAAAATGGCTAATTGCGTGAATCGGGATTCGCACCAAGGCGTTATTTTCAGGAAAAAGTTTCATTGCGCGCCTTGAGGCGGGTTTGGGTTCCGCCTTTTCAAACATTGACCCCTACTCGAAAGTAGAGAGACTGTTTCCAAAGAGACCCCCGGCTCAACGTCGAAAGTTGCATTGCTTGACTAACTGCTACTTCATTAATTAAAGAAGTGCAGACAGTTTAGAGATCCATTTTGAAGCTTCATGTCCCAACAACTAAACAATTAAGCATTTTAAATGCAAGTAACAAAACTATTTTAAAAACATATATTTGAAAGAAAGATATACAAACATAGCAAATACTGATCTGGAATGTGTGTATAATATCTGCAGAGTAGTTAGTGATTCTCATTCTCTATTTGAAATTCAACCCTCTGCAGATTCATTAATTAATGATCAAAAAAATCTACTAAGGTTAGAAGATGGAGTGTAGAAAAAAAATACCTTTGGACCGATATGGAAGAATAGAATAGAAGGGAAGCTTGGTGATATTTTAGGAATTCTAGTGGTAATATGGTATATAGAACTACAGTTGGGCTTCATTCAGATATAGCCTGTAAAATGTAAAGTTAGGCTCTATACCTCCTTAACCAGGCTTATACTATTAAAGGACAGCCCAATAAACTTATTTTCTGTCAAATTACACCATTCTATTGTGCTACTACTCTCCACATAGGGATAAAGTATGCGTACAATGAACCTCCTTAGACTTTAATTCACAAGATTTTGCTAGGTTTGTTGTTGTAGCAATATTACACAATTAATTTAATAATTTTAAAATGAACTCATCATGTCTGTACAATATTTTGTATCCATCAAAATAAAATTACAATATATTTGTACACTTAAATATATAATTCTTGAATCTTGATGTAAGAGGTATTTATAGCAAAAATATAATTTTATAGTGAAAAAATGATGCGTACAAAAATTATACGGAGTAGGCGGACCCAGAGATTTTTGGGTATGGAATCCCATTTATGAAAATTTGTATTCACGTAATCCATAAAATTCAAGATTACGTGTAACATGAGATTTCAAAAATCAATTGAAAATCAACAATGCTCTTACACTATGGATACAAAATACATCTTACAACTAGTAGCGCTTACTTTTCATATTTTGGAAGTGGTTTATTATAACATCATCGCCAATGGTAGCAAAAATATCTTTCTCTATGAGATAGTCTTACATAAGAAATCCGAGTTAAAACCTTTCTTACGATTCTTTTACCTTACTACCTTTAGACTGCCTCGCTCACAGCCGTTTTTAAGCTTAGAGCCTTAGACTCTAGATTTCGAAGCCACAAATTGATTATAAAAGATAAATAGTCACTTACATTAAGCAGGACTGAGGATTCTAAAGTATTAAGCATAAAGTCTAGAGTTTTAAGTAAAACTGTACAAGGTTTTGGTTCAGAATCGGAATCTAGAGTTCTTGAACTAAAATTGGACCGGTGGGCGGGTTCTTACTTCTTAGGAACTGGACCAGACTGTTAGGGGAAGAGTTCTGTTTCCAGTTCTAGGTTTTGGAAACTGAACCAAGCGATTCTCATTTTGATTCCATTTTCATTTTCCTTTTTTTTTGGTTTCAAATACAAATTCCCAATTTATTTAGGGCAATTTACCTAAATAGGACTAAAACATAAGGACTTTTTCAATATAGGATCATATGTTTTTATTTCCCAATGTAGGACCATTGGTCATTATCTATTAGTCATTATTCAACTAAATGCCCAGCATTACTTGGACATTATTCTTCTCACTAGTCATTATTAAGTCATATTTAGGGAATAAAAAAGTGTAAGTCCTACATTGGAAAATGACTTATGTTTTAGTCTTATTCAGTGCAAATTTCACATTTATTTAAGGTTCAATTCATAATTTCTAAAAACAAAAAATAGTACTACGTACTCTGTATGAAGCAAAATGTATCAGTTTTTCAAAAAGAATAATTAAAATTGAAAAAAAAAAACCATTAACCAGAACCCATTAAGGTTCCATTCGCATGTTCTAGAGTCAAAATTGAAATCCAAATGAAACCATTAACCGTGTGCATTACTAGTTCTAAGTTTGGAAACATTTAATCCCACAAAAACAGACCTATATTCACTTGACCTTAAAGTTAGATTGCTAAATTTAATTGATTTTGTGTTTTCACCGCAAAACCCTAGACTCACCGCTGTAAAAAAGAGGGTCCTCAGTTTGATACCGACTTGCAATGAAGTCTGAACGAAACCAAGCAGAAAAATTGACAATTATCAGTGCATTGAGAAGTGATAACAGCAACGGCTAAAGCGTATATACTCATTCTTCAATACTCAGAGCAAAAGCACTCAACAATAATATAATTAGGTTTTGAAAAAGAGGAACCTGGGAATCGAGAGCCGGAGTCTTGGAGACGGGGGACCTGGAGCGGTAGGGACGGCGGATGCTGGAGGTGGACTGGCGGATTTCTGACGGGGGTCGACGGGGCGAGAAAGAATATCTTAAGCTTTATTTATCCCCTTCTACTATTTTCAAACCATTTTATCAAACAAATGGCATTGAAAAACTAGTAGTGACAATAATATTTTATCTGACAAATTACATATTAAAAAACTACATCAAAAGATCTACAAAATTAATAGTGACAATAATATTTTATTTTATCAAATTGCTAACGAAAATAGAGAAAGAAAATGAATGAAGTTTGACCATATGAATAATGAACAGACATTATAATTTGGGACGGAGAGAGTATTAAAAGAAATTTTGGGATGAATACCAAAATAAAAATATAATATACGAAAAAAATATCAAAATAGGAGTTGCATATATTTATTGCTAAAATAGGAATTATAAAACTAATAATATGAACATATAATATCAAAAGATTTAGTAAAATGCTAATATCTAATGTCACATTGTCACAATGCAAACTCTTATATCAAGAATAAAAATATGAAACTCTTATTTCAGAGAGATAAGAGTTATATTTTGCTCCTATTTGAAGTAATTTCTTTACATTAATATCTAGACTAAAAAATTTATCTACATTACTGTTTATAAAAGTATATCAGATTTTTTAACTAAAATGTTTTGAGCAGTTTTTTAACGTGTGAAACTTTTTTAGAATAAATTCTATAATTAGTTATTTATAACATGATTTTTTTCATATTTAATTCTCTGTTAACAAATATTACGCTATATTGGTCTCATCTTCACATGTCAAAACTACGTGTCTTAGGTGATATGGACATGTGGAGAGAAGACTAATAGAACATCCTGTAGGAAGGGATTATCAAATACTCCCTCCGGTCCTAAAAACATGGGAGTTATTGATTTTTTTAGATATTTAAGGAAAGTATATTTTAGTATGGAATTTCTAAAAACGTCCTTTGATGTGATTGGTAAAAGTAGGATTTGATGGATAGATTATTAGTAAAAAGTTATGATGTAGTAGGTAGGGTATGAAACAGTAAGGGATAAAAATGACTTTTTAATAGAAATAAGAAATATATTTTGGGACAAATGAAAAAAGAAAGGAGAAAGATTTTCAGGGACGGAGGGAGTAGTAAATAGGCATGTGGCTAGAGGATGAGATAAACCTAAGAGGACTTGGCAAGCACTGATCAAGGGAGACCTTCGCGTGAATGATCTCGTAGAAGATATGATAAATGATAGGATAGGACGATATGACGTCGTTTGATCTATGTAGCTAACCCCACCTAGTGGGATGATGCTTTGTTGTTATGGTTATCAAGTATTGCGTCGTGGTTCTTCTTTCATTGGTTTCTTTCCACGAATAGTCTTTTTTACCCTTTGTCATGTTGGTGTTAAATTGAGGGTTAAAAGTGTGATTTCATAATGCTCATATATCTTTATTGTCGTAACCAATGTCAGAGGTTGTGATGTTCAAAGTTAAGGTGAAGGTAGCCAAACTTTAGATTGTGATGTCCAAAGTTGAAAATCTTAAGATGGAGAAAACTAAATCTATCACGAGCTTTCATTGGCCAGTAAGAGAGTTGGCGAATGAAGCTAAAAGACTTAGTGACCCATATACAAAAGAAAAACTTTTGTTGAAAGCTTTACGCTCTCTTCTATAAAAATACTATATGGCCGTCAAAGCTATTAGAAAGTCACATTACTCACATGCAAGATGCCAAGAGCATGTCCCTTGATGAGTTGATGGGGACCCTTGAAACCATTGAGTTGGACATGAATGAAGACATAATAAGTAAGAAGCAATGTGTCATTTTTGTTAAAAAACATGATTCAATTAAGATAAATAATCTTGAGGTGGATCATGAATTTTAAGAACATCTGCATATGGTAATGATTAATGAAGAATCTAATGAAAAATGGATTGAAAAGAAGTGTAAAAACTCAATTGAAGAAGGGGCAAGTGATTGATATGGAAGAAAATGACGAAGAGAATGCTAAAAAAACTTGTGACAATCAATGAAGAGGACTCTAATGGTGATATTGATCGAAAAAAATATTTGATATTATTGAAGTAAGTGTGACAATTAGAGGTGGCAATCGGATCAACCGGATCGGTTCCGGATTGAACTTTTTCGGTTCGGATATCTTTCGGTTATATGTTATAATCGGTTCGGTTCGGATTGGTTAAATTTCGGTTCGAATTTGATTTCGGTTCTATACAGTTTTCGGTTCGAGTCGGTTCAGATACGGTTCAGTTATAAATCGGTTCGGATAGGTTTTGATTCGGATACAATTTGAGTCGGATATATTTCGGTTTCGGGTCTAGTCCGGTTCGGATATATTTCGGTTTCGGATATATTCGATCGAGTGGACTACAAATTATGAAAAAATATATTTTATGATGATATAAATTCAATATCATAATATTAATTTTAAAATTTAGTTTTGATATATTAAAATTTTATCACTTCAAATAATATTATGAGTAATTTACCTAAATAGGGCTAAAACACATTGGCTTTCCAAATATAGGACCATATGTTTTTATTTCCCAATGTAGGACTTTTAGTCATTATTAATTAGTCATTATTTAAGTAAATGTCCATTATTAATTTATTATTGGCCATTATTCCTCCCACTAAGACATTATAAAGTTCTCTATAAGGAATAAAAAAGTTTAAGTGCTAGATTAAGAAAGTAATTATGTTTTAGTATTATTTAGTGCAAATTTATTAATATATTTAGTTTTATCTTTATAAATGAGTCGAAGCAACTAGTTTTTATCTCGTGCTTTGCACTGACTCGCATACTTTTTTTTATAAGTATAGCTATTTAAAAATGGTACTCCGTATTATATTAAAAATTTTAAAAGCATAAATGGTACTCCGTATTATAGTAAAATTTTAAAAGCATAATATGCTTATTGAAAGGAAAACATACTTCCAAAATTATCTATGTAGGTTCTAATCGGTTTCGGATATAATCGGTTTCGGATCTAATCGGTTTCGGGTTTTATCGGTTTCGGGTATTATCGGTTTCGGATCTAATCGGTTTCGGGTTTAATTGGTTCGGATATTTCGGTTTCGAATCTAATCGGTTTCGGATTTAAATCGGATATGAATTATTTAGTTCGGTTTCGGTTCGATTCGGATCATTTCGGGTTTTCGGTTATAGATCGGATCTTCATTTTTCGGGTCATTTCGGTTTCGGTTTCGGATATTTCGGTTCGGGTAATTGGTTCCGGTTCTGTTTTGCCAGCTCTAGTGACAATCAATAAAAGGGTCATCTAAGAGAAACAATTTCTCAAGATTAAAAATAATAATCTCAATTATGAGAATGCAAATCTCTATTGTGAACTTTCTCACTAAGGAGTTAAATAAATACAACTAAACAGTATTTGGGTAACAAAGGATAACAAAGGAAATAAAATTTGGGTAAACAAGCTTTCATAAGGATTTGTTTAGAAAACAAACTAAGCAATCAATAAAAATACCTGCATTTTACCAAAAAAACTAACACCAATGATATATCAATTTTTTATCCTTAAACTCAATACCCCGTATCAAGATGGGAATAGGAAGAGCTCAAAAGGATTGATACTACTACTCATACCAACAAGGTGCATCTTCTTTTCGAGAGCTCATCACCTAAAACTCCAAAGTTAAGCGTGGACTTGAAGCAATTCTAGGATGGGTGACCCCCTGGGAAGTTTTCCTTGAGCGAGCACGAGTGATGACAAAGTGCGCGGGAAAGACTTGTATTGGTTTGTGGGGCCAGTCTACAATCCTATGAGCAAACACTTACGGCCAGGGTGGGGGCCGGGGTGTTACAAATGATATCAGAGCAACCCTGCGACCGTGACGGGCCAAAAGAGCTTAGGTCACCTAGCGGGGAAGATCTATGGGTTCAAAAAAAAGGATGCAACGAGGACGTTGCATTCCTAAGTGGGGGTGAATGTAATACCCCGTATCAAGATAGGAAAGGGAAGAGCTCAAAATGATTGATAATACTACTCATACCAACAAGGTGCATCTTCTTTTCCAGAGCTCATCACCTAAAAACTCCAAAGTCAAGCGTGCTTGACCTGAAGCAATTTTAGGATGGGTGACCCCCTGGGAAGTTTTCATTGGGTACTCACGAGTGAGGACAAAGTGCGCGGGAAAGACTTGTGTTGGTTTGTGGGGCCAGTCTACAATCCTATGAGCGGACACTTACGGCCAGGGTGGGGGTCGGGGTGTTACAACTGCTCTATGGGTTAATACTAGCGTTATGTATATTCTCACTCAGCTTTCAGCTTAGCGTGTGTTGACTAATTATCGAGTAGGATTAGGATTACCCGAGGGATTCTAGTTCAAGTAGGAATAGAATTATGGATCCTAGATTACTTGTTGGCCAAGTTGGGTTAACACTATATTTGACTAATTATCGAGTAGGATTAGGATTACCCGAGGGATTCTAGTTCAAGTAGGAATAGAATTATGGATCCTAGATTACTTGTTGGCCAAGTTGGGTTAACACTATATATATCATAGCCAAGCCTTGGGTTTTGATATGAGAGCCATGTGAGAAACATATGAGAGTTTATTGTAATTGGTTTTGAGTAATTTTCCAGTTATAATAAAGAGATTGTTTCCAACAGCGTGTAGTCATTGTTGTTTTTACTGCACGCAGGTAGGAACCCGGAGGATAATGATGTGGCGTGGCATGGATGGCTTAAGTGTTTACTTAATCCTTTGAATTACGTTATTTAATTAATTGGACTTTCCGAATGTTATGTTGGGTTTAAGCTTCTGCAATTTTTTGGATTTACTTTATTACTCCGATGAACTTTTGGATATTCCTAAATTATCATGAATGGATGTTTGTTTTAATTTAGGTGGTTTTAAGTAAATCATGCATGTGAATACCAAATTAGTGACAACCCAATCCGCTAACTCGTTGGTTCGAGTTACGCGGGTTGGGGTGTTACACCAAATTCCATCGTCAATATCAATACCAACGAAAATATAGTGACGAAAACCTCGTCATTTCTGTAATTGTATTGAATTACCTACATGTAGGTGTTTTAACCACCTAGACTTGAAGATGGTAGTGGAGGCGCAGGGGAGCAGGATTTGCAGGAGCGTGCTGATTTAGTTCAATTCAAAACTAACAAAACTATGACGAATGTGTACAATACGCTTACAACGTTGGATTTGATACATTATCATTTATTTTTATCAATGATTATTGAATTTAATATATATTTATTCGTATTTGATATATTTGACTTTTGGCTAAATTGGTTCATAGAGAAACAACCTCACCCTTTTAGTAACATGCAATTTTAGCGACGACTTAGGCGACAGATCCAAATTCCGTCGCCATGTGGTTAGAAATTACTAACAGGTCGTTAAAACCGTCGCCAAAACGCGTGATAGAGTTATTCCATTGTTAAAACCGTTGCTATAAGCAACTGCGCATTCCGCCACGAATCCGCAACGGACACAAAATTCCATCGTCAATATCAATACCAACAAATATATAGTGACGAAAACCTCGGTGTCTCCGTAGTCGTACTGAATTACCTACGGAATCTAAGGGTTGGCGATGGAAACTTTCCATCGCGATTCTGTCAGTTTTTTTTCTAGTGTACTGTGTACGATATGACAACCAATTCCACCCATATATTTAGATTGATATCTAACTATGGATTATATTGTTAAAGGGAGAAACATACTCACCTCAAGAACATGGAAACCGACGATGATAAGAACGATGAGTACATCTCAACAAATGTTCAATGTACAACAACATTACTGACAACTTCGAGCTTCCTCCTTATACTCTTCTCTCCAATATGTTTCGAAGGTTCCTAATTATCGTTTAAAATTGACACCAACGGATTGGACAAAATAAACTAAAAATGGGAACAAAACCTGTCAAACCCAAAAGAGAATAAATTAATCAGAAATAAACTCGAAACAAAAAATGAATGAGAAAATAATAAACTTGAAAACCAAAAAATATTTTTTTAATTCTTGTTTCAAAAATAAAATTTCTAATTTAATAGAAATTATTTCAATGAAAATGAAATACGAAGTATTACATTTGTGAAGTGAGTGACATGGTAAATAATGTGTCATTTGAGGTAAATGGTGGTGGAGATACTACTAATAGAAATTAGAAAATGAACGTACACACTACAGATATATACCGAAATAAATGAACCAGGCCTAAAAGTTAGAGTGAAACGGAATATAGTCTAAAATTCCTGAATTGAAGCCAATAGCCATTAAAGAAGCTTCACATCACCCCTTTGCCATTATTATCATTCTTCATCATCATCATCATCGCCAGCCATCATCTTCCTCATTGGTTCGCTCACATTCCTTTCTTCAATTCCAGAGCCCGCACTGCGCAAAAGAATCAACCAAAACCCGAGATCTATCCATCCACTCTGATCTCAGATCTTCCTCAAAATCCAATTTCATGTCTGCATATTTAAATTCACACTCGCAGAACGTCGCGGATGTTCGCTTGTGTTGATAATGTGTTCCGCCTGTATCTATCCGATAGACGAACGTAATGTCCCGATTGGGATTGGATTGATTTTTTTCTTCAAGGCTCTTTTGGTCTCGGATCGGGCGTTTTTTTGATTTTTTCTGTTTTTGTTTGGATGAGATGGAGAGAGGTGTCCGATTAAATGGAGAGGATTATTGTTATTATTATTCGAGTGGAGATGGCGGCGTCGGAGTGGCATCCTCCTCCACGGCGTCGCCCCTGCCTCGCGTCGGCGGTGCTGCTGCTGCGGCTGCCTGTGATGGGACTGTCGGTGGTGGAGGGATGAATTATATCGAACATCATGTGACCAAATTTGATACCCTCGCTGGCGTAGCTATCAGATACGGCGTTGAGGTAATTCAATGAACTGATCTTCAAATCATCAGCTATGCATTTACTTGTACTTTGTCTACTGGGCATTTGATGTTCAATAATTTATAACAGAGCATACAAAATACAATGATGACTAAGATGATGACAATGGGTTTTGATAGTGAAATCATTTCTTTCTTATACGGTGATAATTGTACATTCAATTTATTCAAACAAGCATTCTTTACCAAAAAAAGAGCAACCCTCAAATGCAAATGAGCATAATTTCGACTAAAATCATTAGAATAAAAAAGAGTATAAACATGAGCATACAAGAAAAAGAAAAAAAACATGGTGTCATCAATAAAATTAAGAATATTAGAATGTGTGGTATAATTTGCTAGTCTTATGCCAGTTATGCGTATTAAATTCAGGATGTGGAAAGTTTGTAGTTGTAGAGTATTATGGTGGCTTGAAAAGCATGTAGCTCGCTTGATCATGTTTTGCATTTTATTTTTACAAGGAAGAAACGTGAAGTAGCATCTGCTTCACTTAATTATGATCAGCCTAATCATATACAATTACTAAAATGACCATTGCTCAGTTGCTCATTTTTACATTGGACCTTGTCAGGCTCGCTTTGTTATCATGTGCCACGTGATGCTTAATTTTGGTCTTACTACTACCACATTTTAGCTATTTTAGACTGTTTTTTGGGTTGAAGAAATAGACGGAGTGTTGGAAGAAATTAGGAGTTGGAAAACCTAGAAAAATTTTAAAATATTGGAAAAAACTTGAAGGAGTTGGAAAATTTTGGAAAGAGTTGGAAATATTTAAAGAAGTTGAAATAAATATTACTCTGTATATTTTTAAAATTTCACAATTTTTATTATAACAACTTATACTCCATTTGTTTCAAATTTTTGTCTAGTTTTTGTATGTCTTATTTTTGTCTCAGCTTATATGTAGTAATATTTGTGTGAACCACTTTTCTTACTTTTTCTTATTTTTTAACATCAATAAAAATTATACATTTATTTGTTTCTTAGTTTTATGTCACTAACCCATGTCTTTAAATAGTGGGACAAAGTAAGAAATCTTTTTCATTAATGATAATTGAGAGGAAAAATGGCATAAATAATCCAATGTTTGATCAAACAAAAATAATCTCACATCGCACTTTATACACAAAAATAATAACAAGTTATGATGTGTCTCACAAAATGATCGGGAGATTAATGGTGTTCATTTCTCATCAATTTTTTTTATGTGATACGATTTACTTTTTTCTGACTACGCAAAAAATTATGTAAATAAGTAAAAATAATAAAACAATTACTCCGTACATTATTAAAAAGAAAAGTCACACAATTAAATATATAAAAATTTCAATTTTGGATAAAAAGAGTTATCTTTGTGGGTGTTTTTGAGTTCCTATATTTGGATGTATGATGTTATTGTACATTTGGATGTGTGCTCATTTCGTACATTTATTTTAATAATAATAATAATAATGGTAATAATAATAATAATAATTGAAATAAGAATAAAATGAATTATATATGTGGATAATTTTTAAGTCACTTATGGAAGAACTGGAAGAAGTTTGAAGTTGGAACAATTGGGAGGAATTAGAAGAACTGGGAGGAGTTGGAAGAAATTGGAAGAAGTTGGAAGAAACTAGGAGTTAACAAATGTTGTAAGTTAAGAGTTAGAACCCAAACGAACAGAGCCTTAATATATTTTTATGGAACTTTTACATTGGAGCTTTTCTTTTTTACATTGGTAATGGATAAATTGACATGAACAATCACGCCAACATTATGGAAGTTCCTGGATCGTGTAAAATAATAGTACCAAAGGCAGCACCTTCTATCAAAAATGGAAAATTGGCTATGGAGATTCCGTGCGGTCAGAAATTCATACAGACACAAAGGGCTTCGACAGGAAAGTCGTTTCGATTCAATCCATTCTTTAGGTCAAATAAAGAAAAAAAAGGATATATCTTAGGGGAGGGGAGGTACCTTGTGCATGTTTTTCACATATGATATTGTTCTAATCGATGAAATGCGTGAGGGAGTAGATAATTGGTTGGAGGTGCAGTGGCGAACCTTGGAGTCTAAGAATGAGTATATGGAGTGCAACTCCAACGGTGAAGTGAAGATTTGTTCACAACCCATACCCAAAATAATGAGATTGATGGGGATGTCGTCAATTGCACAGAGCAGGCCGGATAAAAGAAGGCTCGATTCAACTGTCTTGTGCGACAAGAATAAGCCAATGAAACTGACAAGCAAATTTTATCAAACAGTAGCTAAATGAGCTATGTTGTAAGGGGAAGAGTGTTAGTCGGTGAAGAATACACGTGCAGAAGATGCAATCGACAGAGATGAGAGTGCTAAGTTGAATCTGCAGATGTATGACTTATGAGGATGAATAGAGCTTAAAACAAGGAATATCCGTGACAAAGTGGTATGGCATTTGTAGAGAATAAGATGCACATAGTTAGATTGAGATGGTAGAACACGTGCTGAGAATGTGCAAGAGGTTAGAGGTGGAAAATTTGAGTAGGGGTACCTGTAATCAAAATAGAGTTTAAGCGAGGTGATTAGATAGATGAGTGTGTTGCTTGTGCATCTCATCGATGATATGACCCTAGATAAGATCATTCAGAGTTCAAGAATTAAAGTTGTAGGGTAGCTCTAGATAAGAACTCTGTGTGTAGGGCCTTCAAGATTAGTTTGATATAGTGAGGTCTGTGTGTGGTGACCCTTATTGTCTCTCTCTTTTTGGTTTACCTTGTTGAATAGTACTAAGTTATGTCTTTTGTGCTTGAACTGGTGAGCTGGGCTCTTTAAGAAACATTCTCTACCTTTTCTAGGTAGGGGTGGTGTCAGTGCACACCCATCCCCAGACCCCATTTGAGATTTTACTGAATAGGTTGTTGTTGTCGTAGAGCATGATAGTGACTAACCACAAGAATGGAAGACGAGTAGGTAGGGGGAGAAGGATATTGTTTGGAACAATTGTGTTTTTTTCAAGTGATTCAATGTTAAAAATAACATTTAGAGTGGAAGTTGTGTGCATTTTTTGGTACTTTAGAGGTCTTTCATTGCCAGTAGATCTAAAAGAGTTATTCTTGACAACATTTTAGCTTCGGGTAAATGATTGACTAAATCAAAATGACACATTTTTGAAGCCTTGGGTAGTAAATGCAACAATGCATCTAGTGTCTAACCGAAACCTCTCTATTTTTTTGTACAGAATTGCATACATCATGACCCCCAAACCCCGACAGAATATGGATTATACTGAGTTTGTTGCTGTACTCGAGAAAACCAACTTTAGTGGCTAATAATTTATCATAACATTGTCTGCTGTGGAATGACAGGTTGCAGATGTGAAGAGGATAAATGGACTAATAACAGATCTCCAAATGTTTGCTCGGAAAACACTTAAGATACCATTACCGGGACGGCATCCTCCATCTCCATGCCTGTCAAATGGTTTTGATGTACAAGGGTATATTCCATTTGTTTTATGAGTAAAACTTGTTTTCCTCAAATTTTCTGCTATTTCATTTTTTCATTTGTTTTTAGTAACCATATAACATCATATGTGCATCTTGTTTTCCCTGTTTTAGTACAACAATTTTCTTTCAGTCCAGACTTTCTTTCAGTCCACCTTGATCCCAACTAGTTTAGGTTGGTGACATTATAGTATTAAACTCATGCAAAAAAACATAGTGTCATGTCACAACCTTCTTATGAAGGAATGATGAGATGATCCATTCCTCACACAATTCATTTTATCTGTTTCATGTTGGTCATCACCAGTGTTGTTTAATAGTGTCTATGGCCGAATGGCGTAGCAGATTTTGTGCAACCACAACTGTCATTTTATGAAGCATCATCCGCCATGTTGGTGCACATTCGTCATTCATAATCCACCACATGCTATTTATAACAATGGTCATCATCTTTGCCCATAACTATGTAAACTTAATGAACCATACGTGTTTGCCAATTGTTTCTCTATATTATTTCTTATAAAACACTTGTGAGGAAGCTTATTTATATGAAACTTTTATAGCTAATTAGTTAATTAGACCACCTGAGGGTATTTATCCAGAAGTGTGACAAAATAAGCTAGGTCGCATCTCCTTGATTTGGGCCAGAAGCTAACTTTTGGTCCTTGGGGTGATTTATAAGGAAGATCCAAAAGAGAATTTATAGTATATAGGTTCTCCCAAGTAGATAATTTTCCTTGAAGAAGTTAGCCTCTACTAATTATTCCTGATTTTCTATCTTCACTTTTGGGTTAAAGTCTGTCTTAACTTTGCATGCTTCACATCCATATTTGCTATGTAAAACATGAACTGTTGGCAATACGTTTTATCGACTTTATTGTTAAAAATTAATTTATTAATTTTTGATAGCATGTATTCTGTTTGTTTTTCATGTGAGGGTGAAATAATATATGGAGTATCATTTACTCTAAATATCAAAATCTTACTGTGTGTCCAAAAAATATTTCTGTTTTAAAATGGTTGTAAATTACTCCGTATTTGTTCTAAATTCCTGGAGTAGAACTTTAAAATGGTTGCTAATTTCAGCAGTCTGTCTCTTAATCTTCTAGACTGTGTAGGATGCATGGTGCCTAACCACAACATTCTTTTGGCAGAGATAGCATTTCAGAGCGGACCCCGCCGAACCGCAGACACTCAGACCTGTTTGATACATTTCAGTCACTAAAACTGAAACCTCCCCCCACCCAACGAAAAGTCTCCTCAGCAATGAGCAGCTTACGAGGTTATTACGGCCTTGAACCATCATCAGATCAGAAAGCTGCATCTGAAGGTGTTGAAATGGCCAGATACGAAAAGGGTAGGTCCCCTTATCTCGACGACAATGACCCCCCATCACCCATCTCCAACCCCGCACTCGGTTTACACCGAAAATGTAAAAGCGTAGCAAATGGATTCATGACAGAGAATGGCCAGTTGGTGGATCATGAATCCAATCAAGAAACTAAAGATAGCGGCTCTAACAGATTGTGTGACAAATCTTTCAGAAGGCGTCAAAAGTCCGAGACTGATTTCTCCCGTACCCAAGAAATGCTGATGAAGGAAGATAACAGCTCTAGTGGTGGATTTACAGGCATTACTCCTAGCAAAGGCTTGGCTCTGAGACCCAATCCAGCCAGCCGTACTGCCTCACTTGCCAATGGCGAATCTTCCCTGATAAATCCCATTCCTTTTGTGTTGGGCGATTCACCTATTGCTGACATCAGCAGTCTTGACAGAGTTCGAAAGTCTTCCAGCGCGTCAAATTTGCAGGACTCAGACAGTAGTAGCAGTAGCAGCACATTGGCATCCCTGTGGCCAACCTCAAAATGGAGTTTGACAGACTTTCAGGCGCTTTCAACTTCAGCCATCACTAGATCAATCTTTGATGGCCTACCCAAACCGATTAGCGGACGAAGGAACAAAGCTGCACTTGATTAGTGCCGTTCCTCCTTTGGCTTACACGGACGCTTCCATTGGTATTATTAGTGTCACAGATACAGAAGTGGGGATATAAATAAGAGGTGTAGGGGTTATATATTTAGATACGGACGTTAAATTTTGGTCTAAGGACATTTCTTTTCCCACGTTGCAGATGTACGGGTTAAACTGTTAGTGATTGAACATTTACAGTGTCAGATATTCAGAGTACAGATTTTGGTAAACGTTTGCCTCAGATTCGTTCATCCAGAGAGCATCACAGGATATATGTATACTTGGGTGTTTTGTTTTGACAATAGAAGGTGGTATATATTGGAGATATTTAAACCTTTTGGTTTGGGATGGAAATAAAAAGGTGTTATCACCCTTTTAAAACTCTGCAGTTTTGTTTATTTAGTTTAGTTGCTCATTTGTTCTCTTTTTGTCTCCTATATTCGGTCTTGTTTTGAGATCTAAATGAGTCATTATTGATTATCGATAATGTTCTAATTGCTTATAAATTATAAACTAAATCAAAATGATCCATTGTACCTTGTATTATGGCGGGGTTTGATGGAGTGTCACGTGCCCGGTAAGTATGTAGGTGTGAGTAAAATATGTGTGTTATTAGACTTGAAAGGGATGTGACCAAAAAGTGATGAGGGAAAGGTTTGGATTATTTTGACTGGTTAAGATAAATGTATGTTAAATTTTAATTGGTTGAAATTTATTTTTAAAAATAGGGAGGGTCATGCTTGCGATAGTTGTGGCGCCTTTGTGGCGCCTTGAAGGGCAATGCCCATTTATTGAAGGTGGGTGATGGAGGGCGGTGTGAGGAGGGGCTTGAACACCCTCTTTAATGCCCCGTAACACATACTCTTACTTAACTTTATATGAAGTCTCTCACTTCTCTACATTTTATTTAAAGGATCAAGGCTATGTAGAGCTCCATGTTTTTTATTCCAAAATATGGTTACAATGCCAATAAAATTAATATATAGTGCAAAAATATAGTAAGATATCACTATACAATATTATAAGGATTAAGCTAATTGTACCCTAAGATTTGTAGCCTAATTTGTATACCGCAGGTGTGCACCTTCATTTTGTGCTAGTGTGATGCTAGGGTGATGGTTCACAGATGCACAAAATGTTAGTACAAATTTTTATTATCACACTAACATTTTTTGTTAGTGTAACCATCAAAGTATTAATGTGTATTTTTTGTACAACTTTGGAGTGCACTTTTTGGTGTAATTGTAGCATGATTGAAAATTATAATGAGTTTATTATACCAGTGTCCCCTAGGGTTTGGTAAATGTGCACCATTGCTCCCCATGGTTTATAAACTTGCGTAGTTACCTCTCATGGTTCTGATATTGTTACGCCAATGCCCCTTTGGACAAAAATATTCTTTAAATATTAGGTGAATAACTCTACTACCTCCTATGATTTTGGAAATGGGCACCAAAGCCCCTCTACTTTTTCTTTATTGTTTTTCTTTTCCTTTTTCATAAAGAGAATAAAAGAGTTTGTATGTGAAATAATGATAAATTGTTTTTTCAACCCTACATTTTTAAAAAGTTTTAAAAAATAAAAAAGATTTTGTGTTTGAAATAAAAGATTTAACATATACTCGGTACATCATTTGTCAAATTAAATATTTTTGGTTTTTGTCTAGATTTTTTTATGTTTTTGAATATGTTAGGACCAAAAGAATACTGAGTAACGTCTTTTTAATATATAATTAATTATATACGAATAATATTTTTTAGAACAGTGTGCAAAGATTTTTTTTCATGACTTATTTTTCCTATTCTATAAAAGTACTTATTCTTATACTTTTCTTTTCTTATTTTATTTTCTATTCTTGTTTTTTTATTTTAATTTTGATTAAAATAAAAGAAACGGTATAAAATTAATGAACAGAAAATGAGAAATGAGCTTTAGTTAAAAAAATGAGAATATTTTATTGATTTCCGTTCATGAAAATGAATCAATAAAGATCTCTTTTGGACAAAAAATGAAAATGTTAGTTTAAGACAAATGAAGTGTACGTTAATTGTTGTTATTTAATTGTTTTTTATTGCAAACAAAAAATTTGATTATTAAAACATTATTAAAAAAATTTAAAAAAGAAATTTAAAAACATTTATTAAAAAAGTAGTAGAAAAAAATAATAATAAAGAAAAATGAGGTTGTTTGTGCCCATTTTCAAAATCATAGACGATAGTGAAACTATTCGCATAATATTTGAAGGATATTTATATGTCGAAAGGGACTTTAGGATAACAATATCAGAAGATAACAACATAAGCTTTGAAACTATAAGGGATAACGATACTCATTTGGTATATCACATGGGGTCATGTACAATGAATTCATATTATAATATTCGGCAAGGTTCTCATGACATTGTCCGGCAATGTCATGAATGACCCGGGGGCGCTCCGGTGCTCCGTTCGTAAAATTGACGGTTCGTACCTCCTAATCCCCATTTGACTTCAAAGTCAAAATCAACTTGTGTGGTGCAATTGAAGGAGGTGGGGTGTGTTTGGGTTGGGGCGGGGTGAGGGGTTTATCGAGGAGATTAGAGAGTAGGAACCATCAATTTTTCGAACGGGGCACCGAAGCAATCCTGAGTCATCCCACGACATTGCCGGACAATGTCATGAGAACCTAGGTGTATAATATTATAATATTATCAGAATCCAAACCCCCAAATCTAATAATGAGAAATTGATTCCTGCTTTCATTTTGAAGCTGATTACTGATGACTGATGAGTTGTCTGAAATTAATTTTCAAAGGGGTTCCCTGCTTCCGGCTAAGCTAAGGATAAAAATAGGGTAGTGAAGGAGGCCGACGCTTACATTGATTCGATATAGGTCTCTGCTTAAGGTAAATCTGCGAGAAGGGTGCTTTTCCGTCTACGGCGATAGCGCAGTGTCTTGAAGTCGAAGCCGAGGTCGACATCCGGCGAGACCGTTGATTAGGTTCCGATTTCCAAAGGTATGGTGAGTCGCGTTCTAGGGTTTGATACGTTTTGAGTTGATACTTATTGGGCGAGTAGGCGGAGTAGCGATGCTTTTTTGTTCTTATTTTAAAGAAACGACTAAGTAGTCCTTATGGCGAACGCCTGGACGCCCTTTCGTCCTTGTGGCGACGCCTTTCTGCCTCAGGCGAAATCAGGCGAGGCGACCATCCATGGCGGGTTGAGCAGTCCGTCTGGAAGTCGTGACAACTATGGTATCGTACTTCCCGGTCCAAAAATCTTTACATTTGATTTTTCTTGGTCATATTGTATAAACAAAACGTGGAAAAAGTATAATTAGTTACTCTAGTGTATTTGGGTTCATCTTAAGATGCAATTTTGATGAAGTATATCAAAATTTATACCGTAATATTTATTTATGTATAACTATAGTTATTAATGGTCAAAATGTTGCATTGGCGGCGAAACGTCAAACTGGCACATTGGTGATCGTGAGAAATCAAATATAAAGATGTTCTTTGGACAGATGTAGTATTATGAATATACCTTTATATAGGCCCCAACCACAATCATAATAAGATTCTAATTAATGTAATCCTTTTGTAACTAGTTTAAGGATTAAACTATGCTAACTCTAATCTAAAGGTAAACGATAATACGGATAAAAGAGGCACTGAAATTCTTAGTGTGCTTCACTTCCTAAGGTAGCTGAGTCCCATGAAGGCATCTATATCCAATAGATGGATGAAATTATTGGCAATATATGAAGTTTTGTTAATCTAAATATCATTTGGGAACCAGTCAACCAGATTTAAGTCATAGTAATTGGCATAGTTTTGATTGCAGATAAATAGGCTGAGAGTTTCCACAAAGCTATTCCAAGACATCTGTAGTTTGAGTTAGTCTTTGCTGGTCACTAGTCTTTATTCAAACTTGGGTATGTTTATTAATGTTTTCCATTCTCATGTTCTGAAGTCGAGTACTTTTTTTGTTGAGCTGGACTATATTTTAATGCTGCTGAATTGTATATGCATTTGGGTTGATCGAGAATAAAAAAAGATGTACTTCTATCTTTTTCTGTATGGTGAAGATCTGATTCCTCGTGTGTGGTAAATTCTACAACACATGTGTTAAATGTTCAGCTGAAATTTGATTACCTAAGTTACTTGTATACGCTAAAGTTTCTGTGGGCAAAATTGCTTCATTACTCATGTGAACTACTGTTTACTATCCACAATTGATTATATTTTCTATCTGTATTCTTTCATTGAGCCACTCAATATTTACATGTCTCTTCCTGTTTTTTCAGGGGTAGTATACAGCAGGTACTTGGCTTTTCCTCCCTGTATGTGTGTCAGTGTCCATTTTTCATAGAGCTTATTCATCATAGTTGAAAATTTTCACAGGCTCTGAATTATTATTTCCTGTTAGGTCAGGTTTTCTAATTGGGTGGTGTGTTTGTAAATATATTGAAAATAGTTTTGTTTTAGCTTTATAATACTCAAATATAAATTAAGTAGTTAACTTTATTGGTAAATCATATAGTATAGTGCATGTGTTTTAGTCAAGTGCCTTTCCTCTTTTTTTCCAGAAAATTGTTCTGAGAAAGAATAACATGTCTGAAGCCGGAAGAGTGCATCCGGAATGTCGAAATGCATCGAATCCTTATCACGAATGCAGCGAGTATTGCTTCAAAATAATTGCCGAAGCAAAGAAACAAATGAAACAAACAGAACCAGGTAATCATCGTATTTTAATTCCTTAGCTAGTTAACTTTTTTATCTTTAGTGTTTATAATGTGAACTCCATATCACATCAACTGATTAATGATTCATAGTGGTTATGTATTTGTATACGAACTATGAAATTGCATTACAGGATAGCTGGTTGTGTTCTTATGCTTGTCATGACCTTTTAAAGTTGTGGTCTCTCCTCTTCCACTGCATTTATGATTTGATAATTAATTAATTATAGATTGCAGGGAAATTGTTATTATTGGCTGATAGCCCGAGTTTTGCCTTATGGCACTGCCAAGATAGTTGAAAGTTGTAAGGCCAAACTCATGGTGCAAAGCCTAAGGCGCAAAAGAAGCACTAGCCTGACTCATGGAAGGCAAATAATATGAAAATGTTATCTATAGTTCTAGAATTACCAAACATGATATAAATTCAATATAAAATTAATGTATGTGTGCACCAACAATAATATAAGCATGACAATCCTTCACATCCATTATCCACAGTACTAGGCAATGCAAACACAACACATACAGTCATAATTCGAAGTGTCAATTATTCTAACTTCAAAGACTAATGAAATTTACTATAAGAGAGTACCAGTTTAAACTCACAAAAAGTATGTTAACTTCAACAACTGATTGAAAATGAATATAACCGTTTCAACAAATTAGAAAGATAAAGAGAAGAACAAATAGGAGAACAAAGATAGGGGAGAAGAATTTAGACATGAAAGAAATGAAAAAGGGTAATATTTAGAAGATATTTGGACAGGCTGATTTTTAAATGTCTAATCTGAGTTTGGTCTTCGAAAAATAGGTTCCCCGATCTTCGCCTTGAGGACAAGGCGGTTTCTAACCCCGGGGGAGTTGATACGGGTTTGCAGCCATCCCCCCAACCCACGAAGGAACCCACGGCTCAAGTTACGTCGGGTCATTGTACCAAATATTCTCCCAGGTTTAAAAATGGCACATTCCAAATTTACTCTCCCCCTCCCCCCGTCCCACCAAGTTTGGGACATGGGAAGTTGGCACACAACATAAGAAAATGGAATTGTGGTTGATATTGAATATGTAAACTTCACAAAGTTTGAGTTAAGTGAATGGAATTTTGAAGTAACACAAATATACCAAAAATGAAATGAGACAAAGAGAGTGGGGTGGGCAAAAATGTTAAAAGGTGATAAAGATAGTGGGACGGATGGAGCACTATACACCAAAATCTAGCCCTGGCGCATCTTTAGCACTTCGTGCGTTTTGTGTGCCTTGGCTGCACATGTGAGAGTCAGATACCCCTACTCCTGGACCTTCTATGTAATAGATTCAGTAATGAATCCAAATTTCATGAATGATAATAAAAGAATGTAAAGAAGAAGTAGAAGAATGAGAGATGAGAGAATTCAATATTCATTCATAATAAGTACAATGCATACAACTGAAAGGTGAAAGGAGACAAATACAATAGTCACAATACGAGCTAAAAACTTTCTAACAGCATTCCTTCTTTCGCATAGCTACCTGGCAGTATGGCACTCTTTATTCATGTAGCTAACTTGTGTTTTACACTTCAATACATGGGGAAGTGTTAAGTACTGTAAGAGTCAGATACCCCTGTGCCTGGACCTTCTATGTAATGGATTCAAGTAATGAATCCAAACTTCATGAATGATAATAAAAGAATGTAAAGAAGTAGAAGAATGACAGACGAGAGAATTTAGAATTCATTTATACTAAGTTCAATACATACAACTGAAAGGTGAAAGGAGACAAATACAATGCTAGATTACAACTTTCTAAAAGCATTCCTTCCTTCCCATAGCTACCTGGCAGTATGGCACTCTTTATTCATGTAGCTAACTTGGGTTTTACACTTCAATACATGGGGCTAAGTATTGGGCTAGAAGCAAGAGGCCCAGTACTTAACATTCTAAAGGCACTGAACCGATATTATGCCTCACCTGATGTGCTCAAGTTCTCAGGCGCTCACTTTGACAACCACGGGTGCTGCAATAGACTCTAGACTGCCATTCTTTGCAAATTTCTATGGTTGCTGGACAAATCTGTCATGCACTCATGCTATTCTGCCATTTAACAACAGTGCTATGGGGTTCTTTATTTTTTTCCCATGTGGCTAAAACCCACCTCACTGTAGGGAATGTACTTATAAATTTTCTTTGCAGCCATGGGAACAAGGAACTATATAATAGTCTACCAATACATATATTCTTACATCTTAATTAGCAATCAGAAACCCCAGAGTCTCTATAAAATAGATTCTGGACTACTATGTTCTGTACTCTATGTTGCATACAAAGTATATTTATTTTTTCTGCTTTTTATGCATCTCAAGTATATAAACTGTATTGTTGTCCATATTGTGTTAATGTTGTACTATTTCAGTGCTAATGCAACCTGAAGATTGTAGTCATCAAGCCCTCTCAGCTGATGACTCTAATAGGGATCAGAATCCTCTAGTTGGAGAAGAAGTGATCGAAAATCCCTGCAAAGACGTTTCTAATCTTACAGGGAGAGAGAAAAAGCTGTTCGAGTTAAGGTTAAAGATGGTATGATTAGTCACACAATTTGTAATGTGGTTTTGTATGGAGTGTCACAATATGATCTATTTAATTTTAATTATCGTTTTCTATCACCTTGCAGAATATGTTCTATATGATTTTATTTTTATTACTACGTACCTTGCTCAATATGCTCTATAAAGTTTGATTACTCCCTCCGTCCTATAAAAATTGTCCTTTGACTTTCATGGAGTTTATGAAAAGTGTTGAAAAGTGATTAGTTTGTGGTTGAATTTTATGCAAAGTAGAGAAGTGTTGTGAACCGTGTGTTACTTTCCTTAATGGAAATGAGACATTTATGTAGGGACAGACGAAAAAAGTGTGGCAAGTATTGCGTGATGGGAGAATTATCATTTTTTATCACATTGTGCAGAATGAGGCAAGAAAAGCTAATCAAACTGCCATGGTGGCCGAGAAAAGAAAAATGGAAGCACCTGAGGAGTCTAGAGGCATGTCCAAGCAAAAATGGGTTCAGGAAAAGAAGAAGAAAATTGGAAAATTGCTAGAGTCAAATGGTTTGGATATGAGCAAGGCATACATGCTAGACACACAAGAATTTGCAGAGGCAAAGTATAAGAAGTGGGAAAAGGAGCCTGCTCCAGCTGGTTGGGATGGTATGTTTCACTATGTTCTCTTAATAAGCAGACTTCAATGGCATGCTTTGAAATCTTTGAGCTGTAATGTTATGTGCTTTCCTGCTCAATGCAACACATAAATTTGACTAGTAGGTGAATGCATAATTTATTGGGGTTTGGTTAAGTTACAGTTTGTGGCATTGCACTCACGATTATTTACTAGATGTGTTGATTCATATCACAATTTTCCCTTCTCACTTGCATGTTTTGTTTGTTGTTTTCCCTGAGGATGTTCCCTTTTTGGCAAGAGTAAATTCCCTAAATGGTACTCAATAATTACGTGTTTTCACAAATCAGTCCCCAAGATGAACTAATTACCGAGATGGTACTCGATAATTGAAAATAATGCTCAATTTAGTCCCCACGACTAACAGTCATCAAAACGGTGTAAGAATGACGTTAAACTCTATACGGAGTACTATTTTTTTCAAAATTGTCCTTTCTTATTGGATGTTTTCTCAAATTGATCCATTTTTGAAGTAAAAATTCATTAAATATGAAAAAACCGAAGCAGAAGTCTTCCCCTTTAATTGGTTTACGATGTTTGAGCGACTTTTAATTGGTTTACGATGTTTGAGCAAAGTCGGAAGACCATTTTTTATGAGTTTTTATTTCAAATCTAGACTAATTTGAAAAACATCCCATTAGAGATGGCCTTTATGAGTTTATGAGAAGTTAGTACAAGTTTTAATGCCGCCTTGATGACCGTTAATTGGGAAGACTAAACTAAGCATTATTCTCAATTAACGAGTACCATTTCGGTAATTAGTTCATCTTGGGGACTAATTTGGGAAAACACGTAATTATTGAGTACCATTTTGGGAATTTACTCTTTTGGCAATTAATTCAGAAAAATTTAATTTTTTTGAGAGTTCACTTTTCTGTTTCTCTTGCTTTGTAGTTTTTAATCAGAAAACCCTATACGAAGCATACAAGAAGAGAACAAAAAACATTGAGGTTGACCTTGAAGAGTACAGTAAAATGAAGGAGGCTGATCCAGAGTTTTACAGAGAAGCTTCAAGTCTTCAATATGGGAAGGTACATGTTTTTAACTAAGACATTTAAGGCACGTTTTGTTCGAATGTTTGAATGAGAGTCCAAAACCTAGTCCTTGGGTTGGGCCGTTGGGGTTGGACTTTTACCAGGATGAAATATTCATTCATAAGAAAATGCAAGGTATACCAATAACAAGTCAATGAAATCTCTGGCGGGTGTATGCACACCTTATGAAGATCGCAAGGAATTGAGATGGAAAAAATATACTCCGTATTAGTTTTGGTAGGGATGAAATAGTTGGAAATTAATAGTATTCCATTGCTTGGAATGATTATATAGGAAGTAGTATAGATGCTAAAATGTCCAAATCTATTCCATTTGGTACAAAAAAGGGGATTGAGAATTAAAATAAATGTGATATTCTTGTTTCATTATAAATCTGTTCCAAATCCCACCTTCAATCATTTATCCCATCATTCATACATTTTCATTCCTGTTGATAAAATTCTATGCTCAAAGAAAGTGGAGCCATATCCCAAGTTAATGTCAGCATAAAAAGGTTACATGTGTTAAATGAATATATAGTTGTTCCAAATCTCTCACTTTTGCTCACATTCTTGAGCTGAAGCAGGCTCCAAAAGTTTCTGATGATAAGATTGAGAGAATGGTGAAGGAGCTGAAGGACAAGGAAGAGAAGCGCAAAGCATTTAGCAGGAGGAGAAGGTACCATGAAGAGAAGGATATCGACTCCATTAATGATCGCAACGAGCATTTCAATAGAAAGATTGAACGAGCCTTTGGAAAGTACACGCTGGAGATCAAGAACAACTTAGAAAGGGGAACTGCTTTGCCTGACTGAATCGTATCTCACCCGTGGTGGATCTAGAATCGTATCTCACCTTTGGCACTCGGGGTATATACTCGGCTACATGAAATCCCTTGAAACATTTTGAATGCATGAAATATTAATGTTCGTGTACAAGGACTTTTTTTTTATTGTTATTAACTCTATTATAATGTAATATGTATTTGGGTTTATTTGATCAATTGAATCATTTGTAAAATTCATTAGGACGGAGTATTATCTTTACCATTTTTCTTCGAGTAATGCTAGACTCACAAATATCTTGGACACAAATCACACAAATTTGCTATTTGTGCACTTTCTCAAGTGAATAAAATGATTTTAAATAATTTAAAAATAAAAATTTAAATGCGCAAATAGTTTGTGAAGTTTGTGTCTAAGATGTTTGTGATTCTAGTATTACTCTTTTCCCTCTCTATTGACTAATTTGGGTACCATTACTCCAAGTGTTTTGTATATAAGCTACCCCTCACCCATTTTTTGAAGGCAAAAACTTTGGTGGACCTAAGGTCAACTTTGATTTTGTGGACTTCCTTTTAAATTGTAAGCAATTTGCAATGTTGATGGGCCTTTTCAATAAGTTTTTTCCACTGACGAAATTATTCACTCAAACAGTAATAAACACTATCCCGCCTATCACACAACAAATGTATATTAAAATACTCTCTCCGTCCCACTCTTTTTGTTCACTTTCATTTTTGCACACCATCCAATGCACTTCTTTAATCTATTTTATCTTGTAATTTGTATATTAAAAAATTATAAAAATTATATATTAATAATCTATATGTTAAGACAAATCAAACAAGATCACACATGACTATTTTTAGACTTTCACATTGAGAGAATTTGATGAGTCAAAGTGCTTAGATGAACAGTTCCAAAAGTCAAAACTGGACAAAAAGAGTGGGACGGAGGTAGTACTTTGTAACAATTATGTTTATAAAGGAGTATATTTTTATTAGATCTCTCTTTATAACTATTGTCACTACTAGTTTTGTACGGAGTAGATCTTTTGATGTAGTATTTTAATACGTCATTTTTATTTTTTAACTATATACCATTTGTCATTTAAAATTATTTGAAAATAATTTCAGTCAAACACGTAAACCGAAACAGGTTTATGATTTTTCTAAGCATAAATATGTTATTGTTTAAAAAGGTTATATAAACTTTATTAATTTATTAAAAACAATCCATATATATATATATATATATATATATATATATATATATATCCAAGTTATTAAAGGTATCCATCATTTAACTTATTTAATTAGCTCGAATTATTTTAGCTTTGGAATATCTAAAATAAAACAAATGATTCTTTAAAGTTTAAAATGTTTGTGTTTCTTTTAATAGTGATGTACTAGTATTTAGTCAATATAACTTTCAATGTTTATCGTGGTCATCTGAAAGCAGTCACTTTATGTTTTAAGCATGGGGGTTAGATTGGGTGTGTGATGATTACCTATGGTGCTCAAGGTATGTGTCTCTTTGGAAATAACTTTTCTCTTTGTTGGTAGGGGTAAATTTTACGTACACACACTCCCCAAATCTTACTTTTATGGGGTTCAACCCGGTTGATGTAATCGTGCACAATGACTGTGACTCTCCGATCCAAAATGGGAAGTCACAAGTTCGAACGACAGTGAGGGCAGTAATTTTCTATGCTTAATAGACTGGGAAAAAGTTCTCTGATCCGTTTTATCTTTTTTTTTTTTTTTGTTTTACCACATATGTTACTTCCTCCCTCCAAAAAGTATGTCACGGTTATTATTTCAGTCTCTTGATAATTTTTGTTTATCTACTCGTTTTCGGTGACCATTTGATAAAATAAAACATTCTTTTCACATATTGTTTTGTAGAACTTTTAATATATTTTAAAACGGTGTAATTTATCTTTTTTATTTTTCTACTAATTTGTAAATAAAATAATTTTAAAAGGATAACGTTGTTCAGAATGTAGTAAATAATTTAGGATGAAGGGAGTACGTTGAATTTAACAAACTAAAAAATGAGTTGACACTGGTGGGTGTTGCGCGGTTGGCAAAAACAGGGAGCGCCAATGGGGTACATCCGAATTTGGTTTCTGGTAACTGTTTTGAGAGACAACTATGCTAAATATAGGGTATCTGTAACTAACTGGTGCAGATTCCACTCTCAGTCACTAATCTGAGGTTAAAGTTCAATTTATATCATCTCAGTAATCGTCCGGCTAGGTCTGTGGGGGGCTGTGTAAATATCAGTTACACGAGTCTCTTTCCTTCTCTTCACATATGATAGTGAACTTTCTGTTGCTCAAGCCAAAGGGGACTTTGAGTATTGACACTTATCAAAGTGGCGATATATCCAATTAATCCATCCAAGTAAGAACTTCAAGTTTAAAAAAAATACTTCTTTTTTAAAGCTAGGATTCAAATTTTGCCCTCCTAATTATTGAAAGAAAAAGGGAAGGAAAGTATGCTCTTCGAACAAAAACATATATATTGACCCATGCAAGAAAGTACCTTTAGAAAAAGTGAAATTTGCATTAAAATCATACTAAAATTTACTCAATCTGTCCCTAAATAAACTTCTCTTTTTGACTTTTTGGGAAAATTAAAGGAGATATTTTAGTGTTGACTTCTTAAAAATATTCTTGATGTGATGTGTAAAAATAAAATATGATATATAGATTATGACTACCTTTGTCCCATTTTATAAAGCTTGTTTCAGTTTACGATATTTGACTACAAACCATTTTATATGACAAATGGTATAAAATTAAAAAATAAAAATTACATATTAAAAAACAACATCAAAAAATCTACAAAACTAGTAGTGACAATAATATTTTATTTTATCAATTTGCTAACGTAAATAGAGAAAGAAAGTGAATAAAGTTTGACTCTGTAAATAGTAAACATGCATTATAATTTGGGACGGAGGGAGTAGTAAAAAGGTATAATGTGATAGATAAAGTATGAAAAAGTAAGGAATAAAAGAGATTCTTTAAGAGAAAAGAAAAATTTATTTGGGGACAAAGAAAAAACAAAAAAGAAAGTTTATTTTGGAACGGAAGGAGTTTATTTGACGAGTAATACTACGTTGAAAAATAAAAACATATGGTATTACATGTGGAAAGTCACTATATTTTATTACTGTTTAGATAAATTTCATTTACAACAACAAGAATGTTAAGTTGAAGATGCAGAAAATTACTATATACTACATTTATTTCTTTCCAACTGATCAGATGAAAATTTACCATCTTAACTTCAGAATTTGGAATCAACCTAAAGGACGTGTTCTTATTTTTAGGTTACATACAAGTGTTTCTACCACTAACTAAAGCCAAAGGGGGTATTAGTATTACACAGAACCTTACACTGGTCTCTACTCATATGAGCAATCCATAACTTTACAAGAACTCGTACCATTCTTCGTCATCTTGGCCATCTCGCCCACATTTAGCCATCTTTTTATGAGATCAAAAACAGTTTCATCACATAGCAGTTCCCGGTGACCTGCCCTCACTCCAACCCTTTCCACTGCCTCGAAATGATCAGCCTGCACAGTTATGGCAGATGCATATTTTTGCTGAGGATTGAATTCCACTCGTGATGATGATGATGATGATGATGATGTGCTACACTACATCTGTCCCGGTATATGTGTCAAGTTTGACTTTTTCCAATCAAACGTGACAAACTTTGATCATCAATTAAATAAAAACTAGCATTGCATATTAATAACATAATGTTTTCTATAATTGTTTTGCAAAAAAAATCAAAAAAATTAAGCATTTCGTTCTATTAATATGCAGTGTAATTTTTATTTAATTGATCATCAAAGTTCATCTAATTTGACATGGGAGAAAGAAGTCAAAGTGGACAAATACATTTTGCAGACTCACGGTGCAATGTTTCATGTGGCTTTGAGTTTAGTACAAGCTTTTAATTGGTAGAGCACTTGATTGGAAGAGGAATGTACCACTAAACTTTATAAATGCAGGCAATATGAAGGAAATAAAAGATAAAGTACCTTTGCCGATTCAGACGGAACAGTTCCATCGCCATCCACGCAATCATAATCAGGCTGTAGCATATTTAAGTAGTCCAAATAAGCAGAGATTCTTGGTTTTAACTTTTACTCAAGTGTTATGTATACACATACTAGCTAAGGCAAGTTACTCAAGTGTTAATTCTATCAAATATTCCTAAACTTTCAGGTTACCATTTACAATTAGTTATGCAATGACAATTAACAAGAGCCGTGGTCAATCTTCTAAACTTTCAGGTTTCATCTTCTAAGTACTATTTCTTCAACAATAGACTACATACATTGCATGTTGCAGAAAGCCTTTCAGTTTAAGGTACCAAACAAAGTCATAATAACATGGATCCTGCTTACCATTGTGTGGCAGATATCCGATAAGTCCTCGATTGGATTTGTTTCTGAGCCATAACTGCAAAGGAGAGAGATGCAACATTGTGCAGACACTTGATGAGAATCCAATGCAGAAGCCTCCATGGACATATGAGCTTAAAGTCATTAAGTGCACACACACAAGTGTAAATTTGATATTGTGACTTCAAACTATGTTAGTGTTTGTTAAGACATTTGTATAACTCGCTCTCTCAGAAAAATAATTATTCGATGCTTATGTAACCCCTATTTAAATAAACTAAATGGAAAAAATAAAAAAGGGCAAAAAAGGAAACAAAGTGTAGAAGGATTTTAAATTTTAATCTCAACAGTAGTATTCCGCAGCAAAAAGCTATGAAACCCTGAACTTTATAGTAACAATATCACAATTTATACATGTATTGATCATCGAACTTGCTCACATTTATTATTTGGATGAGGTACTCAGCTGCAATTTTAGAGGCACTTATTTTATATTTGCATATGAATGGAAAATATGCCATTTGGATATGTTTTTTTTATTAATAAGTCAGTAGTAAGGCCCTCAATAGTATTTAGTATGCATAAAATGTGCCTAATCATAATATTTGCACTCCATATGGGTTTGTCCGTTGGAAGATGTTTATTTGGTCTTAAGATCATACTCCCTCTGTTTCATAAAATGGTTCCTATGTTGACTTTCAGGATACATAAGGAGTGTATACTTGTAGTTGACTTTCCAATTTTACCTTTGATGTGATGGATAAAAGTAAGATGTGATGGATAGATTTTTAGTGAAAAAGTATGATGTGATAGTTAGGGTAAGAAAAAGTAGAGGTAAAAG